AACCTCTATGGAAATGACACAGAGACATGAGGACATATACAAGGCCTGGCAGTTCTCAAACTCATCGCACACAACATAACAGACGTTTCCACCAGCAGGCGGTTTGTCCAATTCTTGGTGGAAAATGGATTGAATCTTTGGGCAAACATAAAGAAACAACAGAAGGAGTGCCAAAACAGACGCATATCTGTCAAGTTTGAAATAAGACTTTGCTTTTGATCAACAGTAGCAGCCTCCTCCCGCACTGCTCCTCCTCTCACAGACAACACTTTGGACACTTTGCACATCAGACATCAATGTGTCCGCACTTCTACTTCTTTAACTTCTTTAACACCTGGAGGCGCTCCTCTTCCCCGCTACAGCAGCAAGAGACGCCTGCGCTCTGTCTGCACGCCGTCTGCACCAGTGGCTTCTTCTGCAGAGGCAATGCCCTCTCTATCAGATCGATAGATAGAGCGATAGATAGGTCGATAGATAGATCAATGGATAGATAGATAGATAGACAATTATCATATCATATTCTATTATGTAATTTTACAAAAAAGTGATCTTGTCATTTAAATCTGGTTATATCTGAATTAAATCAAATCAAATCAAATTTTATTTATAAAGCGCTTTTCATACAAAAGATGCAACACAAAGTGCTTTACAGTTTGGTTAAAAACAATCCCGCCGGCCCATGTCCCCTCCCCCCGACCACCCAACAGACCCATCCCAAGCCACAGACAAACACACACACGCTCCCATGCACACTCTCTGAGACACACACACACACACACACACACACACACACACACACACACACACACACACACACACACACACACACACACACATACACACAAGTAAAACAGTAAAACAATGATGAGAGACTTGGCAGGGTTCGGATCCAACCAGCTGAAAAAGCGTCATCCAAGGAGCCGTCTGCACCAGGAGCAGAGAGCCGCCTGTAGCCACAGGGGACGACACAGGATCTAGAGGAGACCCGAAACCGAGGCCCCAGGCCCCCACCAGGTCCAAGAGTCCGACCCCCACAGCCACACCGACCACTGCTCCCAGTGCAGAGGGCTCCTCCAGAGGAAACACTGGGTACACTAAAAACAATACAATAACAATACAATTAGTAAAACACAAAAATGTGAAACTAAAATGAACTAACACACAATACATGAATAAAAGCAATAGCAATACAATAAATAATAGGAGATAAATAGAATATATAAAATGAAATAGTAAAAACTAATCAAAAGCTAATCTAAAAAGGTGTGTCTTGAGCCTGCTTTTAAAAATATGAATGTTCTCTGCGGCCCTGAGCTCCTCCCGCAGACTGCTCCAAAGACGGGGGCCGTAGTGCTGGAAAGATGCCTCACCGTGAGTGAGGCATCTGAAGTGTCATTGTCACGTGTGAAAGTAAGTCCTCGTTGTGTATGCAGGATATTTTGTTTTCTGTGAGATCAAATGATGTGGTATTATGTGATCATGTTTTAAATAATAATGCAAAACAACTGAATAATGGAAATACAGTACAGATCAAAAGTTTGGAGAGTTTTTTTATTTTCATGATTATGAAAAATGTATATTCACACTGACGGCATCAAAAATATGATTTAACTCATGTGGATTTATGTACGTACTAAAAATAAAAAGTATGAAACAACTGAACAATTGTCCTATATTCTCGGCTCTTCAAAGTAGCACCTTTTGCTCTGATTACTGCTTCACACACTCTTGGCATTCTCTTGATGAGCTTCAAGAGGACCTGAAATGGTCTTTCAACAGTCTTGCGGGAGTTCCCATGATGCTTAGCACTTGTTGGCCCTTTTGCCTTCACTCTGTGGTCCAGCTCCCCCCAAAACCATCTGGATTGGGTTCAGGGTCGGTGACTGTGGAGGCCGGGTCATCTAGCCCAGCACCCACCACTCTCCTTATTGGTCAAATAGCCCTTACACAGCCTGGTGTGGATCTACAGTCGATAGTCGTGAAAAGAAAGGAAACTCATTGAATAAGACTGTGTCCAAACTTTTGGTCTGTAGATTCATTGATTTTTGTTTGAAGAATAAAACCACTCATGATTTATTATTCATTCACCTGTGAATGTAAGTAAGTGATCTTTATTTATATACCGCCTTTCACAGACCAGAGTCACAAAGCGGTTTACAATTGTTATTATCTCTAAATGATTTGGGGCGATAGAGAGAAGTGGAAACAGGATTAAGTAGGTGAAAAATGTAGAACATAAGATGAAAAAACTTCAATACAGCTCGCAGTCCTTTACATTTTGTTTGGAAACGTCAAATCTACCATACATCTCAATAATCTTCCCTGACACGATGATTGATTCTTATTTTAGGCCCAAGATGAACCACGGACATAGAAAACTCACATTCCTCATTCTCTGTACCATTTCTTATCTCTCCCCCCGTTCTCTTTGCGCTCTGCTTTTTCTTTTCCAATTTTGTCGGGGTTTTTGTCTCCCACAAAAAAAAAAATATATCTGGCGCTGGTAAAATATTCATGCCTTGTCGTAGCACTGCAAACCATGAATCATAGATCTAAAAAGTGTGGGAGCAGAGGGGCGGGAGGAGCGAGCGAAGGAGACAGTATGCTACAAATGCGTGATGATGGCGACGGTGGGGCAGTGATGGAGAGATGATCCAGACCGGGCTCTAGGAAAGGAGACAGAGGAGACCAAGGGTGGAGGAAGCATAGTTTAGGAGAGGAGGTTTGAAGCAGACTGAGGGAAGAGAACACAGGATTAAGCTGTGAAAGAACAAAGGTGGAGATAACCGAGAAAGGAGCGATTCTGACAGAATACAGCACTGCAGAATACTTTTTCTTGTAAAATGGGACTGAGAGGAAAATTACTGTAAAGCAAAGTTGTTTCAGATTCAACAGTTTAGCCTCGGGTCAAATTGACGCATCACAGTGATACAAAAATACACCAAATAATTTATTTTAGAGCTGAATTTTGATGATTTTTCCCTAACTCGAACAGCCCTGGGTCTTTTAGGTATTTTATTTAGGTATTTTTAAATCACTGTGGCAAATATGTTTGACCCAAGAGTAGCACAAGGGTTAAAGGTATGGAGGAAGATTTTCTACTTCCAGGTGGATCATCAAGACTATAGGTCCTCCCAATTTTCAATCATTCTGGTGATACGTGCTCGACAAATAAGACCAGGTTTTTTTTCCAGTCTTTGAAAGTGGAATCTTTCAAAAAACTTTGGGAAAATCCTCTAATATACCTATTAAATATTCTGCTAAATTGACAATACTAAACCTGAAGCAAAACCCAATAAAGTTTTTCATTGATTTGTGACAGAAATCTGGAGTTTTTTAGTCCTTAAATCATTAGTGAATTGAAACTGCCAAGTCAATTTGACAACTCAAAGAATGCCATCCAATCTATTCTTCAGATCAATGTATTCCTTCATCCATGCATCCATCTTCTTCCCCTTAATCCATTTCTGGGTCGTGGCGGTGGCAGTCAGAGCTGCACCCAATTCACAGAGCACCAGCCCCTCACTGATCCTCCTGCAGGTGGTGAGTCCACAGGAGCCTTGATCTTTCAGCAGGGGCTTCAGGCAAAGTGGCGTTAAGTGTCTTGCCCAAGGACACAACGACAGCAGTCATCAGTGGGAGTCGTGAAGTAGGTCTCATGGCGGGCTCGAACCCACGACCTTCGGGCTCAAAGGCTAATGACCGAAAGGGTATGGGTCTTACAGGGTGTAGCATGTAGCAATACTGCAGATATAAAACTCCAGAGCTTCATATTTATAAAGTGGTTTTTCTTTTTTTCTGAGTACCAGTAATTTCCACTTACTCCAAATACGGTGATGACAGAAGACAGATTCCAAAACCCTGTGGCACATCAAAGCTCCCGACCATCGCAGTCCATGCACTCTCTCATTACATTCATAGGTATTGTACATGAATTTAGTGGTAGGAGACACCGGAGCACCTGGAGGAAACCTACGCAAACGTACAAATTAGCACTTCACAACTCATCACTAAAACTCTGCCTTTTTAACAATCTTTTCTTTACACTCCCTCCAGCCCCTTACCCTGGCAATAAAATTAATTCTGATTCTTACATTATTACTATTATTGATACTATTATTGAGAATTACTGTTATAATAATACCTATTCATCCATCCATCCATCCATCCATTTTCTTCCCCTTAATCCATTTCTGGGTCGGGGGGGGGTGGCAGTTAGAGCTGCACCCAGTCACAGAGCACCAGCCCCTCACTGATCCTCCTGCAGGTGGTGAGTCCACAGGAGCTGAGATCTTTCAGTGGGGGCCTCAGGCAAAGTGGGGTTAAGTGTCTTGCCCAAGGACACAACGACAGCAGTCATCAGTGGGAGTCGTGAAGTAGGTCTTGAGGTGGGCTCGAACCCACGACCTTCAGGCTCAAAGGCCAATGCTCTACCAACTGAGATGACATTGATCTGAAAGATTTTTTTGTGTGAATTGAACCGAAACATTTTAAAGTATCAACAAAGCCATCCCAAAGCTGTATCCCCCTGACAGAAACACTTTTTTTTTCTCTCAGAAAGACAGATTTATTTCAAGACATCGCAAAAATGGAATGGGAGGAGGCCATGAATCACAGTCTCAGCACTTGGATATGGATCTATAGGAGAAAGCTGGGTCAAGAGGGTGGAACTGGACAGACAGCCGCACTTCCTGGATGTTTGAAAAGGCTACAGTCACTGAAATGTGGCCATACCTGCATGTGAAAGCCAGAACCCATCAGACCTCTGAAGCTAAACAGTGCAGGGCCTGGTTAGTACTGTGATGGGAGACTTCTGGGAACATCAAGTGCCACAGTTGGGTGGCTGTTGTGTCCTTTGGCAAGACACTTCATCCACGTGGCCTTGAGTGTCTGTGTGTAAATAATGTAGTAAGTAAGTAATGTTTATTTATATAGCACATTTTACAGACCTAGGTCACCCAAAGAGCTTTACAATGTTCAGAGTCAGATATTGTTCCCAATCATTGCCCCCCCCCCCACCCACACCCACCCACCACCACCCAACACCCACCCCCCCCCACCAAAAACACCCCACCCCCAACCCACCCACCCCCCAACCCCCCACCAACCAACCCCCCAACCAAAACCCCCCCACCCACCCCCCAAACCCCCCCCCCCCACCACACCCACCCAAACACACCCCACCCCCCCACCCCCCCCACACACCCCACCCACAACACCCCCACCCCCCAAACAAAACCACACACCCCCCACACCCCCACCCAACCCCCACCCCCCCACCAACACACCACAAAAAACACCAACAAAACACACCCCAACCCCCAAAACACCACCCCACCACAAAAACCCACACCACAACAAAACAAACACCACAACACAACCAAAACCACACCACACACGGTGCACACACACCACAACACCACTACCACAACACCCAACAACACCTAACCCCCCACAACAAACAAACACACCCAACACACCACACACACCCCACAAACACACCACACCCCCCCAAAAACACACAACACACAAAAACACAACAAACACACACCACAACAAACACCCACAAAAAACCCAAAAATCCCAAAAAACCACCCACACCCCCCCCCAAAAACACACCCAACCCAACCAAAACACCACACACACACCAAAAACACAACAACAACACAAACACCAAACACCCACACCCACCACAAACACACCCAAAAACACCCAACACACACACCACACCCACACACCAACACACACCCCACAAACACAACACACCCAACCCACACAACACACCACCCACACACCCCCCACACACCCACACACACCCCCCCCAACCACCACACAACCACACAACCCCCCAACCCCCACAACCACCACCACAACCCCCCAACCCCCCCAACCCACAAACCACCCCCAAACCCAAACCCCCAACCACCCCCACCACCCCAAACCCAAAAAAACAACCCCCCCCAACCAAAAACCCCCCAACACCAAACCCCAACCCCACACACAACCCACCAACCAACCCAAACAAAACACAAACCCACAACCCACAAATCAACCCCACACCCAAACACAACACACCAAAACCACAACACCCAAAACCACCCCAACCCCAATAAAAACCCCCAAACCCCCCCCATAAACACCCCCCACACCCCACCCCCCCCCCAACACCAACCCCCAAACCCAAACACCCAACACCAAACCCACCAAACCCAACCCAAACCCCAACACCCACCAACCAACAACCCCCACACCCCACCACCAACCAACAACACCCAACCCACAACCACCAAACCAACAAACACCAACCAAACACCACCCACCACCACAACCACACCCCAACCACACCCCCACCCCCCCCAACCCCACACCAACCCAACAACACACACCACCACACCACACACAAACAACACCAACAACACCCCACAAAAAACAACACAAACACCCCCACCAAACCCCCAACAAACCACCCACCAACCCACAAAACCAACCCACACCCAACCCCACCACCCCCAAACAAACCCACACACCACCCCAACAACACACCCCCCCCCCCCACCAAACCCACACACCCAAAACACCCCCCCCACCAACACACCACCAACCAACACCCCACCACCCAAACAAACACCCAAACACCACACCACACCCAACAAAAAAACCAAAAACAACAACAACAACCCCCACCCCCCCAAACCCCACCCACCCCCCCCACCCCACCCCACCCCCAACCCAAACCCACAAAACAATACAACACAACAAACCAACCAAATCACCCACCAACCAACCAACCACAAAACACCAACCCAACCACCAAACCCCACCCCAAAAAAAACACCCCCACCCCACACAAACCCAAAACACCCAAACACCCAAAACAACCCACCAAACACCACACACACCACACCACCAACCCAAACCACAAACACACAAAAAACAAAACAACACCAACCACACCACCCACCAAAACCCCAAACCAAACACACACACCAAACCCAACAAACACCCACACACCAACAAACACAAAAACCCACCCAACCTCACCAACCCACACCACCAACACAAAACACAACCACCACACCCCAAACCACCCCACCCCCCCACAACACAACACCAAAAAAAAAAAAAACCACCACACACACAAACACTCAAACCACACAACACAAAACAAACATCCAAAAACCCACACCCACAACAAACCACCCAACAATAAAACACCAAAAACAACAAAAACCCCAACCAACCCAACAACCACCACCCCACAACCCACACCCAAACCACAAATCAACCCAACAACAACACCCCACACAACTACACCACACCACAAAACACCACAACCACCCAACACCATACAAACAAAACCCACACACACCACACCACCCACCACACCAAAACACCCCCCCCACAATAAAAAATAATCAACCTAAAAAAAAAAACCACCACCCACAACACAACCCCAAACCCAAACCCCACAACCACCCCCCCACAAAAAAACCCCCCAACCCACCCCAAAAAAACACCAACCAAAAACCCACAACACACCAACAAAAACACAAACCACCAAACACAAAACAAACCACCAAACACCACCAACCCAACAAACACAACAAAAACAACAAACAACACCCCCACCACCCCACCCACCCACCCCACACAACCACCACACCCCACCCCCCCAACAACCCCAACACAAACACCACCCACCCACCCCCCACACACACCACCCACAACAACATAACAAACACCCCCCACAAAACCCACACCCACCCCCCAACCCCACCCCCCCCACCCCCCCCCACCCAAAAAACCCACCCACCCAACAACCAAACCAACCACCCACCCACCACCAAACACCCCCACACCACCCCCCCCCACCCACCAAACAACACAAAAAACAACAACCCCCCCCCCCACAACACCACCCCCCCCACCCAAACAAACCCCACCCAAACCCCAACCAAAAAACACCCCCCCCCACACACCCCCCACCCCCACCCAACCCCCCAACTAACCCCACCCCCCACCCCACCCCACACAAACCAAACCCCCACACCCCACAACACCCCCCCCCCCCCCACAACCACCCCACCAACAACCCCCCACCACAACACCACACAAAACCACCCCCCCCCCACACAACCCCACCACCCCCCCCAAACACACCACCAAACACACCCCCCACCACCACCACCAACACAAACCAAACCCACCCCACACCACACCCAAACCCCCCCACACACACCCAACCCAACACCCAACCCCACAACCACACCACCCCAAAACAACACCCCCACACCCCAACCCCCCAACAACACACACCAAACAACAACAACACACACCCCCCCCACCCACCCACCACACCCACAACCCCACACACCCAAAACCCCCCACCCCCACACACCCCCACCCACCACCCCCCCCCCCAACCCCCCCCCCCCACCCCACATAACCACCCCCCCCCCCCCCACCAACACCCCCCCCCACCACCCCAACCCCACACACCCCCCCCCCCACCCAACCCAACCACCCCCCCCACCAAACACACACCCCCCCCCCCCCAAACCCCCCCCCCCCCCCAAAACCCCAAAACAAACCCCAAAACAACCACAACAACACAAACCACAACCACCCCACACACCACAAAAACCCCCACAAACAAACACACACACCACCAACCCCCCCCAACACAAAAAAAACCAACCCCCCCAAAAACCACACCCACCACCCCAACCCCCCCACACCCCAACCCAACACAACCCCAAAACCCACCCACCCACCACCCCCAAAAACCACCAAACAACCACCACCACCCCCCAACAACACAAAACACCCCAAACCCACCCCCCACCCACCCCCCCAAAAAAACAACACAAACCCACCACCACACCCAACACAAAAAAAAAAAAAAAAACCCCCACACCCCCAAAAAACAAACCCCAACCAAACCAAACAAACCCAACAAACCACCACCCACAACAACACCCCCCAACCACCAACCCATCCCCCCCAAAAAAACCTACCCAAAAACAACACACACACCCAACACACCACCCCCCAAAACCACAACCAAACACCCAAAACAACCCCCCACAAACAAACAAAACCCACCCCACCCACCCCCCCCCAACAAAACACAACCCACCAAACAAACACCAACATAACCCCCCATCTCTATCATCATACAAAACCCCTAACAAACACACCAAAAAAAATACACCCCCACCCAAACCATAAAACCCACCCCCCCATTTTCTAAAAATCCACCTCCAATATTTAATAATAACACCTCCATAATTATACCCAACCAAAAAACCCCATAACCAAAAATCAATACCTTCATCAAAACCTAAAAAAACAAAAAAAACCCAAAAACCATAAAAATAAACAAAACTCAAATAAAAAACAACCAAATCATAAATTCATCCTCACACCCACCCTCAACCCCCCTAATCAACAAAACTCCCACCCATAAAAAACCCCAAATCTTCTCTACTTTTCCCTCTCCTAACACAAACACCCCTCTTACCTCTCAAAAACTCAACTAAAATCAACTAAAAAACAAACAAAACACACAACAAACAAACAAACAAACACATACAATACATAAACAACAAACAATTATAACTAACCCAAACAAACAAAATAAACCCCTAAAATATAAAACCACAATACAATAACAACAAAAAACTATACCCTATAAAAATTCTTCTCCAATCATTTCACCCTATTACCTCTATTTTATATTTTTACTTTCACAATTCATTATTTTTATTTATTCAACTTTACACAACCTCACTATATAATATTACCCTTTTACCAATCCAATTATTCATCAACTAAATCCTCCAAAAACCCATTAATCCACTCCCCATCCTAACACACCATTAAAACATAAAAACCACTATATCTAATATATATATATATATATATATATATATATATCTATATATAATATATATTATATATATATAATATATATATATATATATATATATATATAAATATATATATATATATATATATCTATATAAATAACAAAACACATAAATCCAAACAAAACAAACCAACAAAAACAATACAATTACTAATAAAAAAACAAAAATCAAACAAAAAAAACCAAAACAAACCCCCCAAACCCACAAATAAAATCACACAACAACCAAACCCACCCACCCCCAAACAAACCAACAAACCCACCCAACCCCACACACACCCAACACACCCCAAAAAACACAACAACCACCCAAACCCACCCATAACCCCCCCCCAACCCCACAAAACCACACCCATAAAAACCACAACCCACCAAACCCCCTACACCACCCCAAACACAACCCAACCCAAAACAACCAAACAAACCACTAAAACCCACCACACCAACACAAACACCAACCCCACAACCCAAACCACACCAACCCAAAAAACCACAAACAACAAAACAACACACTCAAACACAACCATCACCCCAACAAACTAAACAATTCAAACAAACACTAAAATACATAAACCAAAAATCCTTAAAAAAACAATACACCCACTACACAAACCCAACAAAAAAACCCAAACAACTAATCCATACCTAAAAACACCACAACCAACACACCACCAACCCCCCAACACAAACCAACCCACACCCCCCCACACCCAAACAACAAAAAAACCCACAACAAAAACACCAAAACACCACCCACCACCACCCCCCCCCCCACCACCAAACCCCCCCACAACCCCCACCAAAACCAAAAAACACCCCCCCCACCAAACAACCCCACCCCCCCCCACCCCCCCACCCCACCCCCACCCCCCACCCCACAACCCACCCCCCCCCCCCCCCCCCCCCCCCCCCCCCCCCCCCCCCCCCCCCCCCCCCCCCCCCCCCCCCACCCCCCAAACCCCAACCCCCCACCTCACTACAAATCAAAAAACAACCAAAACCCCTAAAACCACACACATTCCCAACATCCCCAACACACACATAAACACTTACAAATACACCCCCAACAACTCTTCACTCCACTATTACCCTTACCTCTAACCACCCCCCACCCACCACACCCCCCCAAACCCCACAAACAACACAACCCCAAATAACCACCCCCCACACCACCCCACCCACAAACCAACCCCCCCCCCAATCCCCCCCCCCCTCCCACACCCACCCCCCCCCACCAACCCCCCACCACCCACCCCCCACCCCCCACTACACCCACACCACCCCCCCAACCACACAACCCCCACCACCCACCCCACCCCCAAAAAAACAACAACACCCACCCCCCACAACCAAACCAAACAACAACCCCCCACAACCCACACATAAACAACAAAAAACCACAACACAACACTAAAAAAAACCAAAATACCAAAACAACAACAAAAACAACAACCAAAAAAACCTAACCACAACCACCCCACCCCCAACCCACCCACCACACCAACCACCCAAACCCCCCCACCCACCCCCCCCAACCCACCCCCCCAAAACACCAACAACAAAAACCCAAAAACCAAATAAACAAAAAAACACCTACACAAAAACACCCAACCAAAAATACCAAACTACAAAACCCCAACCCATAACAAAAAAACCTCCACACTCAACCCCACCAACCCTACCAAAACACCCCACAACACCCAAACAAAAATCACTACACCAAAACCAACAATACCCACATACCCAACACCTCACCCACACCAAAAACAAAACAACACTACTTCCCCCCAACAACACAACCACACCACACACAAACCAATAAAACAAACCCCCCACTCAAACAAAACAAAAATAACCCCAAACAAAAAACACATTCTCATCCCACCCCACTAAAAAACAAAAATCTAAACACCCTAAAAAACACAAAACCAAAAACCCCAACTAACCCCCCCTCACACCATAAATATACACACTCAAACTCTACCTATAAACAACACCAATCACCATCAATCTACCAAATAAATCAACCCCCTCACTTTTCATACCTTAACCCCCTTCAACACCCAAACCAAATTCCCCCCCCCAAATCAAAATTCACTTCTTCACTTACACCACAAACTTCCATCAATAATAACCCACCACCAATCCCAATATTCCCCTCCCCCTCACAAACAAACAACATCAATCACCCCTCCATAAAAAAAACAAACACCCATCCAAAATCACCTACTCCCCCTACCAACCACCCCACCAACTAAACTTACCCCCCCATCCAAAAATACTTCATCCACTAACCATAAACCTACCCATACATCCTAACTCATCCACACCCTCCAACTACCAACATAAAACCTTCATAAAACCAAAACACAACCCACACTTACACCAACTATCCATACTATCACCATTACAAAACTTCACTCAATCTCACATTCTAATAATATCTAAACTACTTAAATTAATACCCCCCAACAAAAAAAACACAAAACAACCCTAAAACACCACACCCAATAAAAACAAATTCATAACAACACAACACCCCAAAAAAAACATAAATAAAAACCCCCCAACAACCCACACCCCCACACCAAACCCACCCAACACCACAAACACCCCACAAAAAACAACAACAAACCCCACCACAACAAAAATACACAACACCCACCAAACAACCAAAAACACAACTCCAACCAAATCACAACCCAACACCCCCACAACCCCCAACACCCCATAAAAAAAAACACCCAACACAATCTCAAACCACACAACCCACACAAAACCAACCACACCAAAAACAACCCAACCAAAACCACACACCCACCCAAACACAACCCAACCCAACAAAACAACCAAAACAAAAAACCAAACCAAAACCCCCCCCCCACCTCAACATCACCCACCCATAAACCCAAAAACAACAACCAACCCCCACCAACCCCCCCACCAAACCAACCCCAAAACACCCACACCACACCCAAAAACAACCCCCCACCAACCAACCCCCAACTACAAACACCCCCCCACCCCAAAACCCACCAACCACCCCCAACCTAAACCCAACCACACACAAAAACCCACACACCCCAAAACAACCAAAAACACCACCCACCAACACAAAACCCCCACCCCATACCACCCACAAAAAACAAACCCAAACCCAAAAACACAACAATCCCACCCACCCAACAAAAAACCAAAAAACCCCAACCCCCCCACCACAACACCCACCCCCCCCCACACCAAACCCACCCCACAACACCCACCACCAACCCCCACTCACCAACCAAAAACCCCCCCCCCCCCCACACCACACACAACACCCCCAAACAACCAACAAAACCCCAACCAAACCACCACAAAACCCACACACCCACACACCACACCCAAAAACCCCCCCCAAAACCACCACACAAAAACAAAAACCAAACCCAACCCCCAACCAACCCACACCCACACAACCAACCCACCCACACAAAAAAACACAACCAAAACACACAAAAACAAACACACACCCAACAAAACAAACACAACCCAACCCACAAAACCCCCCCCCCCAAACACCCCTAAACAAAACACCCACAAAAAACCCACCACAAAACACTCAATCACCAACCCCACACCCCCACCCCCCAAAACATACCACACCACACAACAACCCAACAAAAAAAACAACAAACCCACCACAACAACAAAAAACCACAACCAAACAACAAACACCAACCACAAAAAACCAACAACCCCAAACCACCAAAAACCAACACCCAACACCCCCACACCAACCCCCCACAAAAACCAACACCACCCCCCCCCCCCACAAAACAAACACACCCAAAACAAACCAACCCCACCCCAACAACACCCCCCCAAACAACCCCAAAAACACAACCAAACAACAAAAACAACAAAAATTAATAACAAACTCACTACCTACAAAACCCAAACCCAACAACATCCAAAAACCCACCCCTCCCCAAAAAACCAACCCCCCTCACCACCAAAATAAACCAAAATCAAAAACAAACAAACAACAAACCAACATAAAACCCACAACACACAACAACACAAAAAAACTAAACCAACCACACACACACCCAAACTACACAACCCACCCCCACAAACCACACACCCCACCCCCCCAACCCACCACCCCCACACCAACCCAAACCCCACCCACCAAACCCACACACCCCACCCCCACCCCCCCAACCAACAAACACACCAAACCAAAAAACTCCCACACCAAACAACCCACCACAACCAACACCCCACAACACCACCCCCCCCACCCCCCCCTAACACCCCACACCAACAACAAACCCCACACAAAAAAACCCCCACAACACAACCCCACAAAACCCAAACCCCCCCACACACACACACCCACCACCACCCACCAACCCCCCAACCAAACAACACCCCACCACCACCCCACCCAACCCCACACCCCCCCCCCCACCCCCAACCAACCAATACCCCCCCACCCACACCCCCCCCACCACCCCAACACACCCCCACACCCCCCACCAAAACACCCCCCACCCCAACCAACCCCACCCCTCCCCCCAACCCCCCCCCAACCCACACCCCCAAACCCAACACCCCCCCCCAACCCCCCAAACACCCCCCCACCACACCCACCCAACACACCACCCCCCCACCCCCACACAAACCCCCCCAAAACACAACAAAAACCTACACAAAAACACACAAAAACCAACCAACCCCACCCACCACCCCCAACAAACAACCACAAAAACAAAAAACAACCACTCTCCACCACCAACCCACCCCACCCCACCCACAAAACACCAAACAACAAAACAAAAAAAACCACAACACCAAACCACAAACCACACAACACCACAAACCCCCACACACACACACACACACACACACCACACACACCACACAACCCACAACACCACCACAACAAACCACAAACCCTCCACACACACACACCAACCACACCACACCCCCCCAAAACACACACAACACCATAAAACACTCACAAACACACACAAACACACCACACACACAATCACACAACAACACAACCCCCAAAAACACCAACCACACCAAAACACCAACACACACACCAAAAACCACACAAACCAACACACACACCACAACAAAACACCCACCCAAAACACACCAAAAACACCCCCCACACACACACACAAACCCACCCACAACCACACACAACCACACACACCACAACACACCCCACACCACCACACACAACCACCCAACCCCACACACACACAAACACCCCCCACCCCCACCACACCACCACACAACCCCCCCAACCCACAACAACCCCCCCCCCAACCACACAACCACCCCCCAACCAACCAAACCCCCCCACCAACCCCCAAACTCAACCCCCCCCCCAACCCCACAACCCCCAACCACCACCCCCCCAACCCACAACCCCCCAAACCCAACCAAACCCCACCACCCCAACCCAACCAACCAAAAACCCCCCCAAACCCAACCACCAACCAACAACCCCACCCCAACACAAAACACAAACAAAAAAACAAAAACACAAAAAACCACCAACCACCAACCCCAAACCCCCCAACACACCCCCCAACCCAACCAACACCCAAAACCAAAACCCCCAACCCACCCAACCACCCAACACCCAAAAAAACCAACACCTACCCCCAACCACCCCAACACAAACCACACCCCCCAAAACTACACACACCCAACCACACACAACCTACATCAAACCCACCACCCCCCAAACCACAAACACAACACAACCAAACACACACCCAACCAACCCACCAACCCCCCCCAACATAAACCAAACCCCACACCACAACACACCCACCACACCAAACACAAAAAACAACAACACCACACAAAAACAACAACAATAAAACCCAACCAACAACAACCCAACAAAAACACCAACAAACCCCCCCAAACCACACCACACCCCAACCCCACCCCACCCAACAACAACCCCACCCCCACCCCCAACAACCAACCCCCCCCCCCCACCAAACCAACCACACAACAAACACACCCCCCCCACCACCACACACCACACCACCCACCACCCCAACACCACACACCACACACCCCAAACCCCAACCACCCCAAAACCCCACCCAAAACAACACCCCCACCCCACCCCCACCCAACCACCCCCCCCCCCCCCCCCCACCCCACCCCACCCCACACCCACAAAACACACACCACAACAACCCAACCAAACCACCCACCACAAAAAACACAAAACAACAACACACCAAACAAACCCACCACCCCAAAACAACAACCCCCCCCAACAAACCACCCCCAAACAACCCCCAACCCCCCACAAACCAAACACCACACACACCACAACACAACACACAACCAACCACAAACACACAACCACAAAACCACACCCAACAAAACACCAACCACAACACCCACAAAACCCACAAAACCAAACAACACCCCAAACCCAACCACAACACCCCTACAACACCAAAACACACAAAACCACCAACACAAACCAACCACAACAAAAAACACAAAACAAAAAAAAACCAAAACCCATAAAAACCCACAAACCCCACAAAAACCCCCCCCCCACAACAACAAAAAAAAAACCACCAAAAACACAAAACACACACACACAACAACAAACAAACAAAAAAACCCAACACACAAAAACACTACACCCCACACAACACACCAAAAAACAAAACAAAAAAATCCCAACAAACACACAACCAACAACCCAAAACAAACCACACCACCACAACAAAAAACACCACACACAAAACCCACACAAAACACCACACCAAAAAAAACACCACAACACCCCCAAACCAAACCAAACCAAATACCCACACACAAACACCACACCAACCCCAACACACAAACAAAAAACCCAACACACCAAAAAACAAAACCACCACCCCCAACAAACCCAAATCCCAAACCCCCACAACCAACCCCCCCAAAAAAAACCACCACCAACCCCACCCCCAAAACCCCCAAACCACACCCCCACAACACCCCCCACAAAAAACCCCACAACCACCCCACACCCTCCCACACCACAACAAAACACCACAACCCAAACAACAAAACACAAAAAAAAAATAACCACCCCCAACACCCAACACACACCAAACACACCACCACCAACCCCCCCCACCCCCCACACAACCCCAACCCAAAAACACCATCCCCCCCACCCACCCACCACACCCCAACAAAAACAAAAAACCCACACCCCCACCCAACCACCCCCACCACAACCCCCACCACCCCCCCACCCCAAACAAACAAACAAACCAACACCAAAACCCAACACCCCCACACACACCACAACACCAACACACCCCCCACCCAACACCAAACCCAACAAAAAAACAACACCCACCCCCACACCACAACCCCCCCCCACAACCCACCACACCCACCCAAACCCATAAAAAAAAAACCCCCCACCCTACCCCAACCACCCAAACACCACCCACAAAAACCACCAAAACACCCACCAAAAACCCACCCAACCCACAACAAACAAACCCCCACAAACACAAAACACCACCCACACCAAAAACACCACAACCCCACACCCCCCAAAACCCAAAACCCAAACACCAAAACAACACCCAACAAACCACACCCACCCCCCCAAACACAACACATACAAAACCACCACCAAACCCAAACAACCAACACCCAACCAACCCCCACCCACACAACCCCACACCCCCACAACCACACAACCCAACACCCACACCAACACCCCCACACCCCACAACACCCCCACCAAAACCCCCCAACAACCCCCACCCAACCACAACACCAACAACCCACCACCACCCCCCCACACCCACCCCCACACACCCCCAAAACCCCCCCAAACCCACAAACCCAACCACACCCCACCCCCCCCCCCCCCCCAACCTCCACCCACCCACCCAACACACACCCACCCCCCAAACCCACCAACCCCCCCCCCACCACCAACAAACCCCACACACCCCCCCCCCAACCATCCACACACCCCCCACCCACCCCCAAAAACACACACCCACCAAACCCCACCCCCCCCATCACCCCAAACAAATCCCCAACAAAACAAAACAACACCAACACACACACCAACACCCACAAAAAAACCCCACCAAACCAAACACTCAACACCAAACAACCACACCCCCAACACAAACAAACACAAACCCAACAAACACACCCAAACCCCCCCCAAACCCCAAACCCCACCAAACAAAAAAATACCCCCAACCCCCCCCACACCCACACACACCAACACCCAACCCAAAACACCAAACACCCCACCCATATAAACACAAAACCCACCCAAAACCACCAACCCAACAAACCCAAACCCCAACACCAAACACAAACAAAACACCAACCAACCCCACAACCCCCCCCACACAACAAACACACAACCCAACCCAACTAACCCCCCACAAACCACAACCAAAACAAACACCCCCACACCAACCCAACCCCCCCACAACCACAACCACCACAACCACACACACCCAAACCACCACCCCACAAACACCCACCAAACTCCCAAAAAACACCCAACAAACACAACAAAACCACCCCACCCACCCCCCCACAACCAACCCCAACCCACCAACACAAAACCACACAAACCCAACACAAACAACATAAAACACCCCCAAACAACTACACATACCATCCACCAAATTACCCCCCTCCCAAACCTTAAACCCAACCACCCCATTCACAAATACACCATAACATAACACAAAACACCTCCTAAAAAATACCCAACCAAAAAACCCATACCAATAAAAAATATTAAATTATTTAAAAAAATAAACCATTCACCTACAAAACCAAAAAAAACAAAAACAACCCATAAACACATTAAAAAAAAAACAAACTCAAATAAAACAAATCCCAATATTAATTCTCCCTCCCCACCCCCACCCCCACTTCCCCCACTTATCATCAACACCCACTTTAAATTCCCCTAATCTTCTATCTACCCTTTTCTTCCTAACACAAAACCCTCCTTACTCTCAAAACTCAACTCAAAATCAACTAAAAACACAAACAAAACACACAAACAACAAACAACAAACATACACTCACAATAAAAACATACAATATAAAAATAACTAACAAAACTAAACCAAAATAAACCTAAAATTAAAACCACAATAAAATAACAACACAATAAAAACTATACCCTATTTAAAATTCTTCTCCAATCATTTCTCCTATTATTATATTCATATTTTTATTCCAAATTCATTATTTTCCTTTTCACTTAAATTTAACAATCTCAATATACCCTACATATTAACCTTTTATTCAAATCAATTATCTTCCATCAATTCATTCCCAAAAAACCCATTATCCATCCCCATCCCCTACAACCACAATAAAAACATAAACAATATATATACATATATATTATATATATATATATATATTATATATATATATATATTTTATATATATATATTATATATATATATATATATATATATATATATATATATATATATATATATATATATATATATATTTATACTCTCTATATCATTTCTTAAATTTATATATCTAAATAATATTAAAGTTCATGGTAATAATTTATTACTTTTTTCTTTTTCATTTCCTTTTTCAAAAAAACCCCCCCCCCCATACCCTCAAATATAATCACAAAATACATCCCCTTAACACCCCCAAATCAATCAAACAATCAATCCCACACCCACACACAAACACCCTCCCATCAAACCCACAACACAAACCCCACCACACCCCCAACACCCACACACCCCCACCACCCAACCCACAACCAAAATAAACCCAAAACCCCCCCAACACCCCCCAACAACACCCCAAACACAACCCCCAACACCCAAACACAACCTTTCAAATCCCTCAAAATCCACACCACCACCAAAAAATACCACCACCACACAACCCAAACAATCTTCCCACAAAAAAAAAAATAAACAATCACACTCAACAACACCACCAAAACCACAACCAACTAAACTCCCTACCAACAAAAAACCAAACACCAACAAACAAAAACCAACTACCTATTACTATATACACACCACCAAAACCAAAAAAAAACCCAAAATACAAAACCCAACCATAAACACAACAACCACAACACCACACCCCCAACACAAACCACCAACCACCACAACCCACCCCACAAAAAACACACAAACCCACCACAAACACACAAAAAACCCAACACCCACCCCCACCCCCCAACCCACCACCAAAACCCCCCCACAACCCCCACACCCCACAAACCCCCCCCCCCCCCCAAACCCACCACCCCCCACCCCCCACCCCAACCACCCACAACACCCCCCCCCCCCCCCCCCCCCCCCCCCCCCCCCCCCCCCCCCCCCCCCCCCCCCCCCCCCCCCCCCCCCCCACCCCCAACCCCCCCCCCAACCCCCCCCCATAACATCTCTCCAATTCTTTAATTCATCCCTAATCCCCCTTACACCCATTCTCTACTCCTTCTCACTCTCTTATACCATAACTCCCAACAACTAACTACCCTCCACAACCTATCAACCTCTATCCCTCACCATACCTATCTCTTAACCATCTACCCCATTAATCCCCCACCCCCCCCAACACCACACCCCCACACATACCCCCCCCCCCCCCCCCCATATCCCACCCATCCCCACCCCATCCACCCCCCCACCTCCACCCTCCACTCACCCCCCCCCTACAACTCTTCACCCACTCCAACACACCCCAACCCACTACCCCCACCACCCTACCAAACCCCTAATTAAATAAAAAAACCCATACAACCAAAAAACTTAATCTAACACCTCATACCCCCATCTCTAATTTAATATATCCCACAATCTAAATCAAAATATAAATAAATTTTCCTAAACTTCTAACAAACCATATCTATTCACTTTTTTCCTTAACACTTCACCCCTCCCACAACCTCACACCTTACCTACCCCAACCTCCAAACCCCCCAACCCACCCCTCCCCACCCCATCACCAATACCCCCCTTTTCTCATCTTCAAACCCCTTATACCAAATTATATATACCAACTACCCATCCTCATCCACTACTACCCATCAATTATAAACAATCTACCAAACCCCATCCCCAAAAAAAAATACCTCTCTCACATACAAACCTACTACCATCACATCAACACCCACATCACCTCTAATATAATTCTCATCCTATTTTTATTATTATTTAATTTTCATACAAATTAAAAAAACTCATCACCCCCACAAAAAAATCATAAAATAAATCTTCCACCCCTACTACATACACCCACACCCTCATAAAACCCATATCAACAAACAACCCCTCTATATCAAAACAAAAAAAAACCCCTAAAAAAAAATAACATCACCACACCCCACAACAAAAAAAAATCAAAACTCCTAAAAACCCCCAACAACCAAAACCCCACCCCCCTAACCCCACACACACTAAAACCACATTCCAATCACAAACCCAAAAAACAACCAAACACCCAAATTCCAACCAACAAAACATTCATCCATCATCTATCTCAGACCCCATAACCCCCTTCATTACACCCCATACCATAAACCCCCCCAAATCAAAACCTTCAACATTACTTACACCCAACCAACCTACAAAAAAAACCACTCCAACATCCCCCAAAAAACCTCCCATTCATTCTAATAAACCTTTTTCAACCCCTCCATTAAATTAACATACACCTCCCTAACCTCACCAAACCCCCCCTTACAAAACTCCACCAACTACAATTACCCCTCATCCAAATATATCATCATCCTCTACCTATTTCCTACTACATTAACCATCATACCCCCACCCCTCTTTCTACCCAACTAATAACCCTTCATTCATACCAAAACAACAACCTCCAATTCTCCTATCCCATACCTATCTAATTACAAAACTTCATCAATCTCAACATTCTAAATATATTAACACACATCCTAATACCCCCCCCAAATCACAAACACAACTTAACACAACCCTAATTTCCACCTCTCCATATACTTCAAATCCTCATAACAAACACATCCCCCCCACAAAATATACATAACAAACATATCTTCCACCCTCCAAACCCACTACCCCTCAACTCTAAAAACCAAAATCAATCAAATCAACAACCTTATATCAATTTAAACCCAAAACCCCCTAAACACACCACAATTTCACTTCATATCCCCACCCCCACCTAAAATAATTAATCTCATTCTCCCTAAAAATCCACCATCAACTTAACCATCTAACCCCCTCTCACCAGTATTTATACCACTTACCCCATATCAAACCAAAAAAACCCAATCAACAAATACCAACCAACAACAAAACCAAACCAATTCCAATCTACCACCTTATTACTTCCCTTATCCTTAATATTATTAAATCATACAACAAAAACCACCAAAAACAACCCCCCCCAAAACCAAAAAACCCACCAAACCTAAACCAAAAAAAAACAAACACAAACCAAACAACAACACCTCAACACAACCCCCACACACCCACCCCATACCACCCACAAACCAAAAACAACCCCAAAACCAACCAAACAACCCAAACACCCCCACCACAAATCAAAAATAAAAACTTCCTTATCTACAAACCAATAAAACCAAAAACCCACAAACCCAAAAAAATAAAAAAAACACACCCAAAAACAAAACCCACCAACCCCAAACAAAACACCACAACAAACACACAAACACACAAACACACCAACCCTACAAAAAAAAAACACCAAATCACATCCCCCTCACCAACATAACCCCACCAAAACCACCATCACCACACACACCACACAACAAAACACCCACCCCAAACCCCACACAACACACACACCAAAACCCAAACACAAAATAAAACCCACAACCACAAAACACACACTCAAACCACAACCTTAAACCCCCAAAACCACTCCCAAACAACAAACTACCACACCCAACCCCCACCCCTAAAACCCCAACATACAACAAACAACCATACCCTCAATATAACTCTTACTATCACACCTCAAACCATTACAAAAACCACCCCAACAACATCACCCAACACTCTCAAACCCAAACCTCCCTTACCAATACACCAATAAATAAACCACCAACATAATCACTTAAAACCCCTACCACCCAAACACATCCCCCCAAACATTCCCACACACCACATAATCCTTACAAAACAACCCACAATCCACACTATACTTACATTTTCATCACCTCACCTTAAATCCCAAACACACCAAAACCAACAAACCAAACCCCCTAACCCATATAAAACAACTACACCTTAACCACCCAAAACTTCCCCTCTAAAAAATACAACATCTACTACAACACCCCCCCCTATATTCTTACCACTCCATATCAATTTCAAACCCAACCCCCCCCACTCTTCTTCCAACTTCACTCCCCTCCATTCACACACTCAAACACCTCTTTCACACATATTTTCAACAACTCTTCCTTTTTGAACACATTCATCAAACATCAAAACCCAAACCCTACTTCTTCAAAATCCCACCCCACAAAACCAACCCACCCCCACACACCAAAAACCACACACAAACAACAAACAAACAAACAACCAACACCAACACCACCCCACAAAAAACAAAACCAAACAAATCCACCCCACCAACCAAACCCAACAACACACACCCCACAACACAACCCCACACCACCCCCCCCCCCCCCCCACCACCCACACCAACACCCAAAACCCAACCAACCAACCCAACACAACCAACACACAAACACACACAACACAACAAAAACAAAATCAACTACCCACACCTAAACAAACCACCCACCAACACCCCCCAACCCCAACAAACCCCAAACAAAAACCCCCCCACAAAAAAAAACCACAAAACCAAACCCAACAAAAACCAAACCCCAACAACAAAACAACAACACCACCACACAACACCACAAACACCAACCCCACCACCACCCCCCCACACCCCCACACCCCCCCCCCCACCACCAACAAAACCCCCCACCACAAACCCACACCACCCCCACCTCCCACACAACACACCCTAAAACCCACAAAAAAACACCCCACACCAAACCCACCCACCCCAAACCCCACACAAACCCAAACCCCCAACCCAACACCCACCACCCACACACCAAAAAAAACCCCCACACACCACAAACAACACAAAAACACCCAAAAACACACCACCAAACCCCCCCCACCTACAAACACAAAAAAACCCAAAAACCAAACCAAACAACACCAACACACACACAAACACCCACCCCCAACACAACACTCCACAAAAACCCACACCAAAAAACACACAACCACCCCACAAACACCACACAACCCAAAAAAAACACAACACAAACAAAACACCCACCCACACCACACACCACAAACCCCCACTCACACACCACAAACCCACAACACACCACACACACCAACACCACACACACACAAAAACCCAAACACCCCCCCACAAAAAAACAAAAAAAACCAAACACCACAACACACAAAAACACACCACACCCCCCCAAAAAACCACACACACAACCAAAAACACAACAAACCACACAACTCCCAACAACACCACACAAAAAAAAACACAATCCCCCCAAAACACACCCAACACACCCCCAAAAACCAACACACAACAAAAAACCACACAAACACACAACACCACACACAACCCACACCAAACAAAACACCAAACACACACCCACAACAAACACACCCACCCACACACACACACACACCCCACACACACCACAACACACCCCCAACCCACCAAACACACCACCCCCACACCCCCACACACCAACACACCCCCACCACCCTAATACCACAACACACACCAACCAAACCACCCACAAACCCCAACACAACCCCAAAAACCCACAAAATCACACCAAAACCCACCCAAAAAAAACCAAAAACCAAAACCACCCCACCCCCCCAACCCCCAACCACAACAACACCAACCAAAAAAAACATACCCAAAAACAATACCCACCACCACAACCAACCAAACCCAAAAAACAACACACAAACCCAAAACCACAAAAAAACAACCAACAAACAAAAAACAACAACCCCAAACACAACCAAACCAAACCCCCAACACAACAAACACACACCCCCCCCAACCACACACCCACACACCCCCAAAAAAAACATTCCAAAACCCAAAAAACAAACAAAAAAAAAAAACACACACAATAATACACAATACAAATTTAACACTATCCTCACCCCACAACATACCCACCACACCCACTACAATTTAAACCTACCCAAAACAAATAAACCCTACAACAACAAAACCAAACAAACACCAAAACCACCAAAAAAAAACCCCCACACCTACAACACCACAACCCCCCCCCCCCCCCCCCCACCAACCCCACCAAACCCCCCCCAACAACCACCAAAACCAACAACAAACCTCACCCACACTCCAAACAACCAAAAAACTAACAACTCCACAAAACAATCAACACAACCACCCCAACCAACAACCCACAACAACCACCACCCTAAAACACAAAACCAAACCACCACCCCAACACACACACACCCACACACCCCCACCACCACCCCATCACCACACCCCAAACACCACAACAAAAAAACACACACCAAATACACACACCACCCACCAACCAAACCCTCAACCCACACAAAACACAACAAAAAACAACCTCAACACACAAACAGACCAACCAACAAAAACCAAAAAAAAACAAAACACACAAAAACCAAACAATCCACCCCCCAACCCCACAACAAAACCCCCCCAACCCAAAACCACCAACACACCCAAACACAACAACCACAAACAAAACAAAAAAATTAATCTATCAAATCTTTCCTATAAACACTCCCACCAAAAAACAAACCATACACAACATAAAAAAACACCCCCACAAACATATCTAATCACAATCTCAAACCCATTCAAACCAAAAAAAATTTATTAAATATTAATATTTTTTTTTAATAAAAAATTAAAAATATTTAATAAATTAAAAAAATAAATAAAAAAAAAAAAATAAAAAAAAATAAATAAATTTACTATCACACAATATCCTATAAAAAACAACCAACAACCCCCCAAAACAACAACTAAAACACACAAACAAAACAACAACCACACCACACCACATAACAAAACCAAACAACCAACCCAACCCAACACAAACCCAAACCACCAAACACACAAACCCACAACACAAAAACCAAACCACACAACAACAAACCACAAACACCAACCAAAACCAAAAACAACCACCAAACCCCAAAAACACCACAACATAACATAAAAAAACACCAACAACACACTAAACACACACACACAACTACATACAATCACAACAAACATAACCACCCACCCACAAAACACCACACAACAAACCAACAAAAAAAACAACAAAAACCACACAAACCCCAACAAACAACAACCCCACACAACCACACCAAAAACACCTAAACAACCAAAAAAACTATCCCAAACAAAAAACCAAACCAACAAAAAACCTAAACACCCAAAACCCATACCAAAAAAACACCACTCCCACAAACACCACACCACACCACAAACCCCAAAAAACAAAAAAACACCACCAAACAACACAACCACCCCCCCAACAAAACAATAAACCCACCCAACCACCAAACAACAACACACCCAAAAAAAACCCAACACAAACCCCACCCAACAACAACCCCACAAAAAACCCACTACAACCTAAAAAACACACAAAACACCCCAACACCAAAACACCCACAACACAAACACCCACCCAAAACAAACAAAACAAACTAAAAAACAAAACAAACCAACACCACCACCACAAACCCAAAACACACAAAACCAACACCCACACCACACAAACCCAAAACCCAAAACCACCCAACCCCCCCCCACCCACCAACCACCCACAACACAAAAAAAAACCCACCAAAACAACAACACCCCCAAAACCCCACCCACACAACCCCCCCAACCACCCCCAACCAAAACAACCAACAAACAAACTCCAAACCCCTACACCAAAAACCCACCCACACACAAAACCACCAAACCACCACCCACACACCCAAACACTAAAAAAAAAAACACCACACCCCCAAAAACCAACAACCCCCCCAAATACACATACAACCCCAACCCAACCACCAAAAAATATTCTCCCCCCCCCTCTACACAAACAAAAAACCCCTCAATTAAACCAACACCACCAACCCCCAACCCCAAACCCCACCCAACCCAAACCCCCCACACCCCACAACACCAAACCCCAAAAACACACCACACCCCCCACCACAAACCCCACCAACACCAAACACCACCCCACACAACCCCCCCCCACCAACCCACCCCAACAAACACACCACCCAACCCCACCATCACCAAACCCCACACCCACACCACACAACCCCAAACCCCCCACCACACCCAACCCAACAACCACAACCACCAACACCACCCCACCCAACCACACCCCCCCCACCCCAAACCCCCAACAACACCAACCCAAAAACACACACACACCCCCCCCCCACCCCCCAACCCAAACCCCACCCCCCCCACACACCCCAAAAACCACCACACACAAAAAACCACACCCCACCCCCCCCCCCAACCCACACCCCCCACCACACCCAACACCCACCACCCCAACCCCACACACCCCCACCCCAACTCAAAAAAAACCACCACACCCACCCCCCCCCACCAACCCACAACCCCCCCACCAAATCTAAACACACCACCACCACCACCCCCAACCACAAAACCCCCAAAACAACACCAACAACAAACACAACCCCAAAACCAAACCCAAACACCCAAACAAACAAATAAAACCCCCACATAAAAACACCACAACCCCAAACACAACCACCCCCAAAACAAATAATAAAACCAACAACCTCCAAAAATCACCAACATCCCCCAACAACACCTAACCCCATACCAAAACTATACCCCCCAAAAACAAACCAAACCCTCCTAAACAAACCTAAATTACAAACCAACTATACCCACCCCACCCCACAAAACTCTTAAAACAAAACTAACTAAAAAAAACCATACCAAAAACATTCCCCTTAATACACTTCTCCATTCCAATCCACCCTAACTCTCATCACCCTATACCCAACCCCATAAATCATCCCCTTCATTCATACAAAAACCATCAAAACTCATCACAATCATTCCCTCCCCAAAACCCTACCCCTAACCCCATCTTAACATACCACTTACATCTTCCTCTCTCTCCCCAAAACCCTCCCACCCCCACAAAACACACACCTATCTCCCCATTTAAACCACCCAAAATTCACATCCTATCAAAACAAACCCACCCCCCCTCCCACCCCCACTTAAAACACAACCCTTCCACTTCTCTATCCCCAAACAATTTTCCCCCTTCTCCTATCATCATCCAAAACAACCCTATCCAATCCACCCATACCTCCCATCACAATTTACACCCCCTCCCCAAACTTAAACCCCAACCACCCCCCATTTTCCTATAATCACTCCTTTTTTTATAATCCACTCCTTTTTCCTTTCCCCCAACCCCCCTTAAACCCATATCAATTACTATATAAACTTCACCTCAAAACCTTAAAAAACATTAAAAACCCATACAACCCATTAAATTTCCAAACAAAACTCAAATCAAAATCAACATCCCAATTCCATCTCCATACTCAACCCCCCCACCAACATTTCCCCCCCCCCACCCCCCAAAACTACCAAACACTCACATTACCTTCCCCAAATCTACTTCTAAAAACCTTTCTCCTCTCCTAAACAAAAACCCTCTACACCCTCTCCCCCCAAAAACTCAAATAAAATCACTAAACACACAAACCAACACAACACAAACAAACACACACAACAAACAATACATACAATCAAAACAACCTACTTATAACTAACCAAAACAAAACCCAAAACTAAACCCTAAATATAAACCCACAATACATAACAACACCATAAAAACTATACCCCCCTATAAAAATTCTTCACCAATATTTCACTAATATTATATTATATTTATAACTAAAAAAAAAAAAAAATTCCCCAAATTCCATTACTTATTCTTACCCCATAAAAAAAAACTCAATAACTACTATTACCTTTTACCAAACATAAACACCCATCAATACAACTAAAAACCCATTACTCCACCCCTCCCATCCCCCCCCCTAAACACAATAAAACATAAAACCCCAATATATATACATATATATATATATATATATATATATATATATATATATATATATATATATATATATTATATATATCTATATATATATATATATATATATATATATATATATCTAAAATATATATATATATCTATATATATACTCTAATATCCATACAAATAAAAAAAATACCAAACATATCATTAAATAAAAAATAACATTATTATTTTTCCCCATTTCCCCTTTATTCAATAAAAACCCCCAAACCCATCCAAATCAAAAACCAAAAAACCAACCCTTAACACCCACCCCAAAACCACAAACCACAATCCAAAACCCCTAAACTAACCAACCAACCCAAAAAACCCCACAAAACCAAACCAATCAACCCACACACCCAACACCCCACCCCAACAAAACACCAAACACATACCCCCAAACCCCACCAACCCCCAACAACCACCCCCCAACACAAAACCACCCCAAAAAAACCAAACAAAACCCACAAAACCACACACACACACAAAAACCCCCACCCACCCCACCCCCACCAACCCACCAAACACAACCCAAAAAAAAAAACCACACACATCACATCCCCACCCACCACCCAAACAACCACACAACCAAACCAACCACACCACAACAAAACACCAAACAACCACACACAACACAAACCCCACCCCCACAAAAACCACCCCCCAAACAACACAACCACCCAAAACAAACCCCCCCCCACCCAACACCCCCCCCAAAAACACCAACCCACACCCCCCACACCCAAAACACAAACAAACCCAACAAAAACCACACAAACACCAACACCCCCCCACCACCCCCCCCCCCACCACCAACCACACCCCCACCACACACCCCCCACACCAACCACAAAACCCCCCCCCCAAAACAAACCACCCCCACCCCCCCCCCACCCCACCCAACACCCCCCAAACCCCCCCCCCCCCCCCCCCCCCCCCCCCCCCCCCCCCCCCCCCCCCCCCCCCCCCCCCCCCCCCCCCCCCCCCCCCCCCCCCCCCCACCCCCCACCCCCCCCACCCCCAACTACAACAAAACAAAACAACAACCCAAACCCCCTTACACAACCATCTCCTACATCCCCTTCTCCCTACTACACTAAACCATATCCACCCTACCACTCTACATCACCCTTCATCCCTATCCCCCTAACTCTAACCCCCTCCATTCCCAAACTATCACAAAAACACAACCCCAAAAACCCACCCCCCACACACCCACCCACAAACCCCCCCCCCCAAACCCACCCCATCCCACCCAACCCACCCCCCACCATCCACCCCACCACTCCACCCCACCACCACACATCACCCCACACCACAACCCCAACCACTAACCCCCACCACCCCCCATACCCCCACCCCTAAATTAATCAAAAAAACCCCCACATCCCTAAACAAATCCCATCTAACCCACACCTCTAACTCTCCTTTATTCAACACACTAAATTTCCCCTCAATACCTATCTAACTATACACCACAATAAAAAACCACATCACCACAAACAACAACATAAAAACAACCACATCACCCCCCACCCAAACCCCACACAACCAACACCCCCACCAAACCCCCCCCCCACCCCCACCCACCCCACACAACCCCCCAAAACACCCCCAACTACAACCCCCCAAAAACAACAATAACAACCCCAACAACAACCAAAACACAAAACCTAAATACCCCTAACCAACTCCCCAACCCCCAACCCAACACAAAAATTACCTCCACTACAATACCAACCCAACACCCCCAAACCAATCCACCCCTCACACCTCTCAAACACACAACATCTCACACACACACACCAAAACCAACAAAACACATAAACACACATCACCCCCCCAAAACAACAACCACAAAACAAAACAACCCCCCCACCAAACAACCCCCCACACACCAACAACACAAACCTCAAACCACCCCAAAAAACCCAACACAATTACCCCAAACAACAAAACATCACAACACCCCACCTAACAACCCAAAAACAAACACCCAACAACCATCCCATCACACAAAACCCCCACAAAACCCCCACACCCCCCAAAATCCAACTACCACAACATCCAAAATCCCACAAAAACCAACCCAAAAACCCAACCCCACAAACAAAACAACCATCCACATATACACCCAAAACCCCCAACAACACCCCAAACCCAAAAACCCCCCCAAAACAAACAAACAACACAACACAAACACCCAACCCCCACCAACAAAACAAACCCCACCACCAAACCCCCCCAAACCACCACACAAATAAAAAACCAAAAAACACCCACCATAAAAACACAACCACCCCAACAAAACTCACCCCAACACCCCAAACAAAAAACACACCCAACAACCAACATACCCAATCAAATATCTTACCCAACCACAACACCTATAACCTACCACCAATACCCCCAAACCACCAAACTACCCCCACCACAAAATACCCATCAACTAACCAAAACAACGACCCACCACATACACCCAACCTCCCAACCACTATTAATTACAAAACTTACTCAATCTACATTCTAAATATCAAACACCACCTTTACCCCCCCCACACATAAAAAAACAATAACCAACCAAAAACACCACACCATAAAATAACCAAAATCCAAACACAACACCCCCCAACTAAAATAACAATAAAACAAATCAACCCCCCAACTACCTACTACCCCACAACACATAAAACCCATAATCAACAATCAACCCCTTATATCCATTCTAAAATACCCCAAAAACACAATTCCCCTTCACTCATCAACCCCCCCACTAAAAAAAAACATCAAAACACCCAAAAATCCCAACACACAAAACCCAACAACCCACCACTCACCAAAAACAACAACCAACTCCATCTCAAACCTATATACACCACATCACCCATATACCAACCAACCCCAAAAAAACCCAACCCATAAACCAAAACACCCCCTAACTAACAACCCCAACCCAAAAAAAAACAACCAAATCTAACAAACACCACCAAAACAAACCCCCCCAACTCCAAAAACCCAACAAAACCCAAACTAACCCAACAACCAAAACACAAACTAACTTCAACCACCAACATAAAACCCCCAACCCACATAACACCCAACCAAACACAACAAACAACCAACAAAACCAACAAACAAACCTAAACACCCCCCCCCCCCTACCAAAAAAACAACACCCCAATCCAAAACCAAACCACACACAACACCCCACAAACCCCTAAAAAAAACCACAAAAACACCACCCCCCCAAAAAAACACACCACAACCCCCACCAACCCAAAACCACCAACCCCAACCAACCCCCAACACAACACACACAACCACCACCACTCAAAAAACACCACAACCAACAACCCCACCCAAAAACCACCCCACTATACCACACCAACACCCACACACAACAACACCCACACCCCCCCCCACCACACACCACCCCACAAACCACCCACCACCCCCCACCCCAAACCACCCCAACCACCCACAACCCCCCAATCCCAAACACCCCCCAAAAACCCCCCCACCCCCACAACCAACACACAACCACCCACACCCCAACCCCCCCACCCCAACCCCACACCCAAACAAACACCCACCCACCAAAAACACAACCACCAACACACACCACAACCCACCCACACCACCACAACAACCCAACCACCCACACCAAACCCCCCCACCCAACAACCCACCACAAACAACCCCCACAAACAAACAAAAACCCCCAACCCCCAACCAACCCCAACAAACCACACCCCCACAAACACCCAACCAACAAACCAACAAACCCCCCCACCAAAACAAAACCAAAACACACCACCACCAAACAACAAAACCAAAAACAACAAACCCAACAAACCCCCCCAAAACCCAACCCCCACCAACACCCCCCCCCAACCCACACCACAAACCCAACACCCACCCCCCCCCCCACAACAAACCACCCACCCAAAACCAACCCCCCACCCCCCCACAACCCCCCAACACTACACCCAACCCCCACACCACAAACCCCAAAAAACCCCCCAAACCCAAAAAAAACCACCCAAACACACAAACAACACAAAACCCCCACCCCAACAACAACAAAAACCCCCCCCCCCACACACCACCCTACCCCCAACCACCCAACCCACCACAAACAACAAAAAACAACAACACCACCCCCAACCCCCCACAACACACCACACCCAAAAAAACAACCAACCAACACAACACCCCACACCAAAAACACACCCCCCCCACCAAACACACCACCCCACCCCCCAACACCACCCACACACCAACCCAACCCCACAAACCAACCCCCACAACACCCCAACAACAAACACACCACAACCACCAACACCCAAACCAACCAAAACCACACAACCACACCCCCACCACACACCCCCCAACCCCCCCCACAACCCAAACACAACACACACCCACCACCCAAACAACCCCCAAAACCACCCAAACCCACCCACACCCATCACACACACCACCACCACCCACCCCCACCAACCACCAACCACAAACCCACACCACACCACCCCCCCCCACACCCCCCCACCACCCCCCCCCCCCCCCCACAAATACCCCCACCCCCAACCCACACCACCCCACCACCACCAAACCCCAAAACCCCCCCCCACCAAAACAACACCCCACCCAAACCCCCCACCCACCACCACCAACCCCACCCCAAACCCCAAACCCCAACCCCACACACCCCCCCACCCACCCCCCAACACCCCCACCCCCACCACACAAACCCAACCCCCCACCCACAACCCCCCCCACCCCCCAAACAACCCCCCCAAAACACCACCACCACACCAAACAAACACCACCCACACCCCACCCCCAAACAACCACCCCCCCCACACACACCACAAAAAACCCAAAAACACACACAACCCACCCAAACCCCCCCAACCAACCCCCCAAAACCCACCACAACAAACCAAGCAACTCCCCACCACACCACACACCACAAAACCCACACACACCACAAACCCCCACAACAACAACACACACAACACCACACACACCACACACACCCAACCCACCCCCACAACAAAACCCACACACCCACCACACCAACACACAACCACAAACACACCAACCCCCCCAAAAAACCACACAAACACCAAAAAACACACAAACCACACACCACCAACACACACCAACCACACCAAAAACAACCAACCCCCCCCAAAAACACCCCCACACCACACCCAAAACACCACTCACAAAAAAACAACACAAACACACACAACCCCAACACACCACACCACCACAAACACACCAAACACACACCACCACACAACACACACACCACCCACACACACAACACACCCACAAAACACCACAACCACACCCACACCCACACCACACACACCACCCAACACCCCCCCCCCCCCACACAACAACACACACCCCCCCCCACACACCACACCACACACACACCCCCCCAACCCCCCACAACCCCCCCCACAACCCCCCAACCCCCCCCACCCACCAACAACCCAAACCCACCAACCCCAACCCCCCCCCACCCCCCCAACCCCAAACCCCCACCCCCAACCCCCCACAACCCCCCTACCAACAACCCTAAACCCAACCCCAACCAACCAACCACCCCCACAAAACCCCAAACCCCCAACCCCCACAACCCCCAACCCCTAAAAACCACCACCAACCCAAACCCCCCCAACCCCCCAACCCCAACACCACACCCCCCCACCACAACCCACCAACCCACACCCCCCCATACCCAACCCCCACAACCCCCCAACACCACAAACCAACAAAACCCCAAACCCAACCCCACACCCACACTCCAACAACCCCCAACCACCACAACACCCAAAAACCCCAACAAACAAAACACAAACACAACAAAAACCAACCCAAACACAACCCCCACAAACCACCCCCCCCCAACCACCCCAACCACCACCAAACCCCCCCCAACAACAAACCAACCCAACCAACAACATCCCATCACACCAAACAACAATCACAACAAACAACACCCCCACACAAAAACCACAAAAAAACCCCAACACAAACCAACCAACTACACCCCAAAAAACACACACAACCAAAACCAACCACAAACACAACCAATCACCCCACACAACCACACAACAACCCCCAACAACCCACACCCACAACCCCACCCAAAAACAACCACACCACAAACACACCCCCCCCACCACCCAAACCCCACACCCCCCACACACCCAAAACCAACACCAAAAACCCAAAACCACAACCAAACCAACCCAACCCCAACCCACCCCAACAAAAACAACAACACACACACACCAACACCCACCCCCCCCCACCCCCCCAACCCTCCCCCAACCAAAACCACCACACCAAACCACACTCATACCAAACAAAAAAAAAACAAACACCAACAACCACCAAAAAAAAAACAAACACACCAACACACAAACCCCAAACCAAAAAAAAAAACCCACACCAAAACAAAACATCAAAACAACCCCAACACCAAAAATAACAACCCACAAAACACCAATACACACACCTCCTCAAAACCCCAAACAAACAACAAAAATCCAAACACCCAAACAACACTACAAACACAATACACAACCAACAACAAACCAACAACACAAACATCCCATCCTCATCTCCACTCACTACTAACCCTAAACACCAAAATCCTACCTTACAATCATAAAAATACAAACAACTCATTATCTAAATAAGAACAAAACCCCAAATCCCATCAAACACAAACCCAACCTTTCTCCAATACAACCATCCTATCCCTCTTCATAATACCTACCAACAACACAAACAACACTCAAACATCTCACCTCAATCAATAACCAAAAAAACCCAATACACACAAAAACACTTAAACCACACATACAAAACCCCCCCAAAACACACCCAAAAACAAAAAAACACCAACCAACCAACAACCAAAACCCCACATCACAAACCAAACACAACCCTAAATAACCAATAATTAACCCCCCCAACCTCAAACAACCTATACCTACAAACAATCACCACAAATCACCCAAAACCAAACAAAAAAAACCCCACACCACACCCCCCAAATCACCCACACCCAAAAACCAAAAATCAAACAAAAACACCAAAACACAACCCCCAACAACCCCCCAACACAACAAAAAACCCTCTAAACACCTAATCAACACACCCAAAAAATAAACCCCACAAAAACCACCACAAACCCCAAAAACCCATAAAAAAAACCCCATAAAACTCCACAACTATAATCCCACTAACAATCCCCCCAAACACCCCAAAAACAAACACTTCACCCTCTATCCACTACTCATCCCCTATATATCAATAAAAATAAATCATAAACACAAACCCCACCACACAACCACCCACCCCCCAACAACAACAACACAACCCACACCCAAACACCCAACCAACAACCACCCCACCCCACCCCCCCACCACCACACCACACCCCCCCCCCCCCCCCCCCCCCCACCAAAACAAAAAACCCAACAACCCCCACCACCCCCCCCCCACCCCCCACCCCCCCCACCCACCCCCCACCCAAACAAACACAACCAACCAACACCCAACCACCAACACCCACCACCCACCAACACACACCACACAAACCCCACCCACCACACCCAACACCAAACACACCAACACCCCCCCCCCCCCAAAACCACACCCCCCCCCCCAAAACCAACCACCCCCACCCACCCCCCCAACCAACAACACCCCCCCCCCACAACACAAACAAACACCACCACCCAACCACCAACACAACCCACCCCCCAACCACACCCACAAACCAACCAAAACCCCAAAACCCAAACACCACCCACACCAAAAACACCACCAACCACAACCCCCAACACAAACACCCACACCTACAACAAAACCCACCCCCAAACAACCACCCCCCCCCCCCCCAACCCAACAACCCCACAACCAACACCCACCAACCCAACCCCCAACACCAACCCCACACCAACCAAACACCCCCACACACCCCACAAAACCAACCAACCCAACCACAACCCCAACCCCACACCACCAAAACAAACCACCAAACCACCCCAACCCCCCACAAAACCCACACAACCACAACACACACACCCACCACCCCCCCCCCCCACCTCCCCCCCCCACACACCCCAAAAACCCCCAACCCAACACCCCACCCCCCCCCACCCCCCCCCCAAACCCCCCCCCCCCCACCCCCAACACACCCCCCCCCCACCCCACAAACCCCCCCCCCACCACCCCCAACCCCACACACCCCCCCCCACCCAACCCACACCCCCCCCCACCCCACACACACACCCACCCCACCCCCCCACCCCCCCCCCCCCACACCCCCCCAACAACAACACCAAAACAAAAAAACCCAACACAAACCCACACACCACCACAACCAAAAAACCCACCCCCCCCCCAACAAAAAAACACAAACACCACCCACCCCCCCCCAACACACACCAAACCCCTACAACCACCCAAAACACCCCACCACCCCCACCCCCCCAACCCCCCCCAAAACAAAACACCCCCCCCAAACCCCAACCCAAACCCACCACCCACAAAAACCAAACCCCAAAACAAACCACCCCCCCCAAAACACACCAAACACAACACAAACCACAAAACCCCTACCAACCAAAAAAACCACTACACCAAACCAAACACCCACACACAAACACCCACCAACCAACAAAAACAACCATCCCAACAAACACACCCCCAACAAACACCACCCCCCAAACCAAACACCCCAAACCACCCCCAACCCCCCACAAAACCCAAAAAACACAACACACACACCCAACACCACCCCCCCACCACACCCCCCCCACCCAACACCCCCCCTAAACACCACAAACCAAACACTCCAAAACCAACCCCCACCCACCCCACAACCACCCCAACCCACCCCCCCAACCAAAACCCAACCCAAACCAACACTCACCACAACAACACCCCCAAACAAACACCACACAACAACCCAAACCCACCCCACCCCCCCACACCCCACCCCAAAAAAAAAACCCCAACCCCATAAAAAAAACCCCAAAATTATACCCAACCCCAACCAACCCAACAACACAACAAAAAAAAACCAACCACAAAACCAAAAAAAACCAAAAAAACCCTACCCAAAAAATTTCAAAAACAAACTCAATAACACACCACCCACTTATCCTAACCTTACTCAACCCCCACCCAATATCCCCCCACTTATCCCATAAACAATATTAACACAATCCCTAAATCTTCTTCTCACTTACCTCAATCCAAACACCAAAACCCTCTAACCTCCACCCAAAAACACAAAAAAAACAACAAAACACCCCACAACCACACACACAAAACAAACAACAAACAAAACAATCACAAAAACAACCTACAAAATCTACAAACCAAACTAAACAAAACTAAAACCTAAAATATAAAACCACATCCAATAACAACACAAAAAACACAATACCCTATAAAAACATTCAAACCAATTCCCTATAACCCCTAATAAAATAAAATAAAACCCAAAATCCTTATTAAACATAAAAAAAAACAACCCAACACCCATAAAACTTACCCCATATTACCTTTTAACTCACATACTCCTCCAACCACACTTCATCCTCAAAACCCATTAATCCCACACATCCTAACCAACACAATACAACATAATAAACAATAATATATACATTATATATATATATATATATATATAATATTATATATATATATATATAATCTTTATATATATATAACTATAATATATATAACTAAATAAAAATTAAAAAATATAAATATAAATATATCTCAAATATAACTAATAATCTCAACTATCATATTCTAATATATTACCTAATATTAAATTCATTTACAACAAAAAAAAAACTAACCAAAACAAAATACAAAAAAAACCCCCCCCCAAACCACCAAACAAAAACACAAAAAACCACCCCTACCCCCCCCCCCCAAACAAAAAACACACCCACCAAACCACAACACACAACAAACCCCTACAAACCCCCACAAAACACCCCCAAACACCCAACAACACCACCACCCCCACCCCAACAAATCACACACCACAAACCAAACACCACCAAACCCCCAACTACCACCCCACAACACAAACCCCCACACCAAAAAACCAACAAAACCCACAACCACACAACACAAAAACAACACCCCCACACAACCACAACCACACCTACCAAAAAACAACCCCAAAAAAACTAAACAACAACACATAAACAACCCCACACCACACCCAACAAATCACCCAAACCAAACACACCCTCACAACACAAACAATAAACCATATTCAACCACAAATACTATACTCCACACAACCCCCAAAAAAACCAAAAACAACCTTAACTACAAATCCCCACCCATTACACACACCCCCCCACACACAAAACCCCAACAAAAACCAACCAACCACCCAACCCACACCCAAACACACACAACAACAAAAACAACACAAAATCCCAAAACCCCCCCCCCACCCCACCCAACACCAAAACACCCCCACAACCCCCCACACCCCCACAAAAACCCCCCCCCCCTAACACCACCCCACCCCCCCCCCACCCACCCAACAACCCCCCAACCCCCCCCCCCCCCCCCCCCCCCCCCCCCCCCCCCCCCCCCCCCCCCCCCCCCCCCCCCCCCCCCCCCCCCCCCCCCCCCCCCCCAACCCCCCCACCCCCCCCACAACACTCACACAAACAACAACCCTAACCCTAACAAAACACAACCCTACACACAAAAATCCCCCAAAACCCAACACACAACACACCCCACAAAAACCCAAACCCACAAAACCCACCCAACCAAAACCCAATAAAAACCACAACCCCAGAACCCCCCCCCACACCACCCCACCAAAACCCCCCCCCCCCCAAACCCACCCAACCCCCAACCCCAACCACCCCCCCCCACACCCATCCACACCACCCACCACCACACAACACCCCCACCCACACCCCAACCCACAACCCCCACCCCCCCACCCCACCCCCCAAAAACAAACAAACCAACCCCCACAACCACACAATACACAACCACACAAAACCACACAAAAAACAAAAACCACAAACCAAACTATAAAACACAAAAAAAAACAAAAACAACAAAACAAATACAACAACAAAAAAACCAAAACACAACCACCCACCACCCAAACCACACCACCATCCACCAACCACCAAACCCCCCCCCCACCCACCACCCCCCACAATCCCCCCCCATAACTCCCCATCTCCTCAAAACCCCATATACCAAAAAACCAAAACAACACAACCCTCAAAACACTCCAACCTATTTACACACAAAAAAACTACCAATACCAACCCCAACACACCAAACCACCACACTCAAACCCCACCCCCAACACCAACCAACAAAACCACCCACACACCCCACCCCAAAAAAAACAAACACACACCAAAAATACAAAACAAACACACCACACCCCCAAAACCAACATCAAAACAAAAACAACCACCCCAACACCACAACCCACACACAAACAACCCAAAACAACAAACAACCCCACCACTAACAAACAAAACCACCCCCTAAAAAAAAAACCTTCACAACACCCCCACAAAATATAAAACATCAAAAACACCCCAAACACAATCCCAACCAACCACCCCAAACCCTACCCCCACTCACAAAAATACTAAACCAAACTCCAAAACAACCCTAAAAAACAAACACCAAAAACCAACCCACCCCCCCAAACCAAACCACCCCCAAAACACCTACCAAAACCCCCATATCATACACCCATACCAATAACCCCCATAACACAACAACATCACATCATCCCATAATAACACCCCCAAACCAACCAATCAAAAACCACCCACCACCAACCCCAACAAAACCACCCTCACAACACAACAACAACAAAAACCCCACCCAAAAAAAACCCAAACACCCAACAACCCACAACCCCCCCAACACCCAACCACCACACACCCAACAAACCAACCCCCACCACCACAACAACCAACCACACCACACAAACCAACCACCAAACCACAACCCCCCACAACACCCACCCCAAAAACCAACAAACAAACCAACACCACCACCCACAAAACACCCTCACCAAACAACAACAAAACAAAACACATCAATAAAAACTCAAAAAACACACACAACAACCCCCCCCCCACCAACAAAAACAAAAAACAACCCCACCAAAACCATCCAAAATAACAACAACCACATAAAACACCACACCCCCCACCAACAAAACAAAAAAACAATCTACCACCCCAACAACACAAACCCACAACACCAAAAACCACATCACAAAAACCCACCACACACAAACAAAACCAAACCAAACCCCACAAACAAAAAACCAACAACAACACCCCCCCAAACACAAAACACAAAACACCCAAAACCATCCCAACACACCAAACCACCCCCACCCACACCCCCACACACACACAAAACCACAACACCCAACTCCAACCACAACCCACAACCCAAAACCACCCCCCACCCAAACCCAACCAAAAACCCCAACACCCACAACCAACCAACCCAAACCAAACAAAAACCACCAATCATACAAACAACCCAAAACACCCCCCCCCAACAAAAAAACCCACCAAAAACCACCTCCAAACCAAACACCCAAACCCAACCAAACCCACACACCACAAAAAACCCCCCCAAAAACCCACCACCACACCACCACAAACCACACCCAACCCAACAAACCAACCACCCCCCAACCCCACCAACCAAACCACCACCACACATCCAAAACCCACCCACACACACCCCCCCAACACAACCCACACCAACAAACAATAACCCCACCCCCCACAAACCAAACACCCACCAACCCCAACACACCACACCAAAACCCAACAACCCCCAAACCACAACACACACCACCCCCAACACCCCACCAAATAACCACCACACAACCCCCCCACCCCAACACCCCCCCCACCCACCACACACCAACCCACCACACACCCACCAAAAACACACCCACCCACACCCACACACACAACCCCAACAACAAAACAAACCACACCCCAACAAAACCCACAACCCACCCACACCCCAAACCAAAACCCCACCAATAAAAAACCCCCCCCCACCCAACACAACAAACAACCACCCAACACCCAACCCCCCCACCCCACAACCCACCACACAAACAACAACAACCCAACCCACCCAAAAACACCCAAAACACAACCACAACAACAAACACCAACACCCACACAACCCCACACCACCCCAACCCACTCACTAACCCAACACACCCAAACCAACCCCAACAAACAACCACATACAAACAACAACAAAAACACCAACACCCAACCCTCACCCCCCCCCAATCAAACCCACACCACCCAAACAACCCAAAAACCACACAACCAAAAACCTCACACAAACACACCACACCCCCCCAAAATCCCACACCACACACAACCAAAACCCCAACCACCCCCAACCACCCAACCACCCCCCAAACCCCCCACCAACCCCACACCACAAACCCCCAAACCACACCCCCCCCCCACAAAACCACAACCCAAAACAAACCCCCCACCCCCACAAACACCCCAACACCAACCCCAACCCACACCCCAAACCCCCACAAAACCCCAAAAAAAAAAACAAACCACAACCAACCAACCCCCACCCCAACAAACAACCAAAAACACCCCCCCCCACAACCAACCCACCCCCCACCCCCCAACCCACCACAACAACAAACAAACAACCAACACCACCCCCAACCCCCCCAACCACCAAACAACAACCCAACAACAACACCAACCAACACACACACACACCAACACACACCCCCCCCCAACAAACACACCACAACCACACCACCCCCACCCCACACACCACCCAAAAACCACCACCCCAACCCACACACCCCAAAAACAAACACAACCACAAACAACCAAAACACCCTCAACAACCAACACAACAACAAACACAACCCCCCACCAACACCCCCAACCCCCCCACACACCTCACAACACAACCCCACCCACAACAAACCCCCAAAACCCCACCCCAAACCCACACAACCCCCACAAAACACACACAAACCCACCCCATCACACCCACCAAAAAACACCCCCCACCCACCACCACAAACCACACCCCCCACACCCCCCCCCCCAACCCCCACAAAACACCCCCCCCCAACACCCCCAACCAACCCCACACACCACCAAAACCCCACCCACCACACCAAACACACCCACCCCACACACCCCAACCCCCAAACCCCACACACCCACACCCAACCCAAACAACCCACACCAACCCCCCAAAACCCCAACCCCCACCACAAAACCCAAACACACCACCCCCCCACCCCCAAACACCCCACCACACAACACCCCCCACCCCAACCAAAACCCCACACACAACCCCAACCCACCACAAACCCCCACCCCCCCACACACACACCACACATAACCCAAACAAACACACCCAACCCTCAACCCCCACACACCACCACCAAAACACACCACAACAAACACAAAAAAAAACCACCACACCACACACACAAACCCACACACACACAACAAACCCCACACACACACCCCCACACAACACCCACAACCACACACACCACAAAAAACAAAACAAACCCACAAAAAAACCAAAACAACCAACCACAACCACACACAACACAAACAACCACACCACCCCCAAAAACACCACAAAACAACAACACCAAAAACACCTCACAAACCACAACATCACACAACACACACACAACACCACAAACACACCACACCCCCCAAAACACAACACACCCAAACCACTCCCACACACACACCAAAAACACCACAAAACCCCACACACACACCCCACACACACCCCACACCACCCAAACACCACACCAAACACACACCCACCACAAAACCACCCCACACACCACACACACACCACCCACACAACAAACAACCCCAACCACCCCACACACACACCACCCCACACCCCCACACAACCACACACACCCCCCACACCCAACACACAAAAACACACACACAAAAAAACCACCACAACACAACCCAACCCCCCCAACACACCCAACAACAAACCAAACCCCCCACCCCCACTACACAACCCCCCCCCACCCACCCCAACCCCCCCCAAACCCCCACCCAAAAATACAACAAAACCCCCCACCCCAACCCACCCCCCAAAAACAACCCAAAACAAACAAACCACCCAAACCCCAAAAAAAACCCCAAAAAAACAAAAAAACAAACACAACCACCCACAACCCCAAACCCAAAAAACAACCCCCCCTAACCACAACACCAACCCCCCACACACTACCCCCCACACCCCCCACAAAACCACCAAACAAAAAAAAAAACACAACCAAACAACAAAATAACAAAAAATAAAAAAAAACAAAAAAAACACAACCACAACAACACAACCCCACACCCCCACCTCCTCAACAATACAACCATTCAACAAAACACACATACATCTCATAAACCCCCCCCACCAAAACCAAAACCACTCCCACACTAAACCACCCCAACATCCCCACCCATTACCCCCCCCCCCCCTTCACCCCTCTAACTTAACCATCATCTTCTCTCACTCCTCCTCCAAACATCATTTCTTTTTCTTCACCCCCCTCTTTACTTCATAATATAAATCCCATCACCTCTCCACAACCTTCTTACTACAAAAAATAACCAAATAAACCCCAATCCTCTCCACATAAACTAACATCAAAAATCTCTTCCCCACCTCAAACACCCTCCCCCTTATTCTCTCCCAAACACCCACCAAAATTTAAAATAACTCTCACACATATCTCTCACAACCCTCAACCTATCAACTCTAAAAATAAAATAAAACCATATAATATAATACCTATCTAACCCTATAAACCATACATACCTCCAACCATACACTTATTTATAAAAATCCCACACAACCAATCAATTAAATCCACCCCCCCAACCCACTACAATCCCCCCCTACCATATACCTCCATCTCTCATACCATCCTATCTTAACTTACTTTAATAAATAATTACCCATTTAATAATATTTTACGTCATTCACTACCTCACATAACATAAAACCCCCCATAACATAATAACAAAAACAAACCCATAACAAAAACACAATTCAAACCCATAACCACCAAACATAATAACACAAAATAACTAAACTCTATAAACTACAATACCACCATAACCATACTAACACTAAAAACAACACAAAAAACACCTTAAAAACAACCACAATACAACAAACCACAACTACAAACAAACCCAAACAACTCCAAATACACCACCTAAACTAATACCCAACCAAACTCACAAAAAACATACATAATACACATAAAATAAATACCTACACCCAACAAAAACACAACCCCTAAAAAACACTCCCATCAAAAAATCATACATAACACCAACACTAAAAACATCACCTATATCACACCCACCTATACTTCATTAAAACATAAAACCATAAACTATTAAAACCACAAAACAAAAATAAAAAAAAACCATCAATACTCAAAACCAAATCAAATCTAACAATAATACCCACCATTAAAATCCAATAACACACAATTAAACCCTCAAATATTACCCTACACAAACATCCAAACCAATTTATCACCTAATACACCCAAACCAAACAAAAAAAACCAACACTCAAACACCACAACTCTCCAAAAACCAAAAAAACAAAAATAAACTCCAAATATATAACCAAAAACCCAAATACTATACAACTAAACCCTTTAACACTAATCAACCCCAAAAAAAACAAAACAACCCACAAAACAAACACCCAAAACACAAAACCCAACCAAAACACCAACTACAAAAACCACTCACCAACCCAAACTCACAAACAAACAAACCTCAAAAACCACCATCCCCAACAAAATCATCACAAAAAAAAAAACAAAACATCACACAACTCCACACACCAACCCACACAAAAACACACACCACCCCACCCACAAACAACCCAACACAAAAACCACCCAACAACACCCAACACCACCACCCAACCCTTAACAAAAACCCCCATAAAACCCACAACCCACCACACCCCCCCAACCCCACAAACACCCCACCCACAACCACCCAAAAAATCAAAAAAACCACACACAAAACCCTACCATCACCAACCACCAACCAAAAACCCCCAACACAAACCACCCACCCACACAACCAAATTACAAAAAAAAATCAACACACCCCCACAAAAAACAACCCCCACAAAACCCAAAAACCCCAACCCAAACACAAAAAAACAACAACCCCCCCCCCCAACCACCAACACAAAAAACCCCACCAAAAAACCTCTCAAAACCCACCCAACAACCCAACCCAACCCCCCCAACCCAACCAAAACCCCCACACACAAAACACAACCCACCATATACACACAACCAAACCCCCCACAAACAAAACCCACCAAAACAAACACCACCCCCAAACAACCACCCAACACCCCAAAACCAAAAACCCCAAAAAAACACCCAACCCACCCCAACACCAATCCACAACCAAACAACAAAACCACCAACACATAAAACCACCCAACCAATCAAAAAAACCAACAAAACACACCCCAAAAAACACCCCAAAAAACCAACCCAACAAAAAACTACATCATCTTCACACAACCCCAAAACACCCACCCCCAAAACCACACCACCCAAACACCCCAAAACAACAAAATCCAAATCTCAACAAAACAACCACCACCACCCCCACATAAAAACCCAACCCTCCCATCCCTCACTCAACAAACCAACCACATCCTACACCCCCACCCTATCAAAAATACAATCCCAACCTACCACCCCATCACAACAACTACCCCACCCCTACAACTTCCTATAACAAAACAAAAACCACACCCAACCCACCTATCCCCAATACTTTTACAATATAATAACTATTCCCTTATCTATCACCTATTCAACCCAACTAAAATATATACCTCCCCAACCATTATATCTCTTTCACCTAACATCAACACCCTAATCTAAAATTAAACATTAACCTCCTATAAATATACCTACTCCCCCCCAAAAAACACTCCATCCCCCATTAAATTATATACCCCCATTAACCAAAACAAACCCTCCCTCAAACATTACCTAAATTCCCATAAACTTACCCCACCCCACCCATATATATCTTTAACAAATACTTACTACAAAAACCATACCATCAACAATTTCCCCTTCAACCACCTTTCCATTCCAATCAACCCCTACATCTCTCAACCCCTATACCCAACCCATAAATCATCCCTTCCCATTCATCAAAAAACCATCCAAAACTCATCACACATTCATTCCTCCCAAACTACCCCCCTTCCCCCATCTTAAAACTACATTTAATTTTCCTCTCTCTCCCCAAAACCTCCACCACCCAAAAACCACCCCACACCCTATCTCCCATTTCTACACCAAATCCAATCTCATCCAAATAACCCACATCACAACCCCCCACTTAAAAAAACCAACCTCCCCAACTCATCTATCCAACCAAACTTTTCCCCTTTCTCTATCATCCATAAAACACTCTACTCAATCACCATACCTTCCATCAACATTAAACCCCCTCCCAAAACCTTAAACCCCAACCACCCCCCCACTTCTCCCTTACCATCCACCTCCCCTTTTTCTATACATCCACATCCTTTTTTCTTTCCCCCAAACCCTTTAAATACCACTCTTCCAATTTCACCCTATTTAAACCTTCTCCTCTTAAAAATTAACATTACACATTTATTTCAAATATCTATAATTTGTCATTTCCTCTACACTTACCTCTATTCTTTAATTTCCAAATAACTACCTGCCCTTCCTCTTCCTCAACACCTCAACCCACCCCCCAACAACCCCCCATACACAACACAACACCCCCAAACCAAAACCCAAAACAACAATCTCCAAACACTTAACCCTAACACAACCCCCTCAAACTCCACCCAAAAACTCCACTCAAAAACAATAAAAACAACAAACCAAAACCCACAAACCAACACCCACAACACCAACAAACACAATAAACCAAACTACAAAATAACACACACACCAACAAAACAAAACCAAACATAAAAAAACCACCTACAATAACACCAATAAAAACAAACCTATACCCCCACAACAACAAAACAAAACACCCCCCCTAAAATAATAACAAAAATAAAAACACCCACAACCCAACTAAAACAATACCAAAATTACAACAAAAAAAAACAAAACAAAACAAACAAAAACAAACTCCCAACATACAACACAAAAACCCAAAATCCACTCCATCCCCAACAACCACACAAAACATCACCCAATATAAAAACAAAATATAAAAATATCAAAAAAAAATAATTAAATATATAATAAATATATAAAAAAATAAATATATATAAATAATATATAACAAAATAATAAATATAATATATAACAATAATAAACTAAAAATATAAATATATAAATACCCTCTAAAAATCCAAAAACAAAAAAACAACATAAAACAAAAACAAAAAAAAAATAAAATATAAACAATAACCAATAACAAAACAAAACCACCCCCAACCCCACAAACAAAACACAAACCAAACCCTACACCCCCCCCCCACAACCCACCCAACACAAACAAAACCTCACAACAACCACAACACACCCCCCAACAAACCAAAACAAACCCAAACACCCCAAAACAAAAACCCCCCCACCCCCCAAAACAACACCCCCAAACAAACCACAAACACCCACCCCACAACACCCCAAAACACAAACCAACACCAACAAAACCAAACAATACCCACAAACAACACCACCACCCACCAATCTTACACCACCAACACAACCAAACCAACACCAACCACCCACAAAAAAAAAACAAAACACACACACCAAAACACCCCACCACACACCCACACCACACAAACCAAACAACCCCCCAAACAACACAACCCCACCCCAAAACACACAAAAACAAAACACCACCACCCCCACACACACAACCAAACACCCCAAAAAACAACACCCACCCACAAACACCACACCCCCCACACCCCATCCCCCCCCAAACACACCACCCCACACACCCCCCTCCCACACACCACCACAAAACCCCACCACAAACAACACACAAAACCCAACACCCCCCCCCCCCCCCCCCCCACACCCCCACACCCACCACCCCCCACAACCCCCCCCAACCCCACCCAACCCCCCCCCCAAACCAACAACCCCCACCCCCCCCCCACCCACCCACCAACCCCCCAAACCCCCCCCCCCCCCCCCCCCCCCCCCCCCCCCCCCCCCCCCCCCCCCCACCCCCCCCCCCCCCCCCCCCCCACCCCCCAACCCCCCCCAACCCCCCCCACCAACAACAAACAAACAAACACACCCCACCACCCCCAACCCCCAAACCACAACCAACAACAACAAAAACACAAAACACCCCAACCCCACAAACACCCACAAAAACCAAACCCACAAACCCACCCCCACCCCACACAAAAACACACAACCCCAAACCCACCCCCCCCACCACCCCACCCCACCACCCCCCCCCAACACCCCCCAACCCCCCCACCCCCCCCACCCCACCACCCCACCAACACCCACCCCCCCCCACACTACCCCCACACCACACACCCCAAACCCACACCCCCCCACCACCCCCCCCCCTCACAACCCCCTTAAAACAAACTCAAACCCCCACAATCCAAACAAACAAAATCAACAAACACCACACCCTCACTGAAACCAACAAAAAACCCACATCACCCAATCAAACAATATAAAAACAAAAAATAAAACAAACAAAAAACAAACAACACTCCATAAATATCTTACCACATCCCCCACCAAACCCACCACAACCACCACCCACCAAACCCCCAACCCCACCAACCCAACACAACCCCCAAAACACCAACAACAAAACCCCTAAAAACCCAAATAAAATAAACTACTACCAAATTAAGACCTCTCTCCGCCCTATTCAAATGAATGGTTGTGCTCAGTGGCGCTTTGTGACGGCATGGGGGCTGAAAGATTAGCGGAAGTCGCCTGGAACTCGCAAAGATCTATGGGAAACTCGCCTGTATTTGGGCATCATCTGGTCCTCCCGGTTCTGCGCAGTGGATGATCTCCCATAATGCTTTGCACCAAACACGCGTGTGTGGGTCTCATACCGGGTCTCACGCACGTGCACAGAGGGGCTCGGCCGCGCTCTGACCAATCAGAGCAGTTCATCAGAGCGGGAGTTAGAGCGAGAACCAGAGGAGTAGAGTTTGTGGCAGTAAAGTGTGGATTTAAACAAAACCGAAGGATTTAGGAAGAAAAAAAGTTCAGGATGACAAGGGACACTAAAATCCCCACAAAATCCGATCTTTATTAAAGCTGTAGGTTCTCTTTCAGCTGAGGTTGAGCTGTTTTAATATGCATTGAGTTCTATGGGGAAAATTTCTGGGTAGCCCACGTGAATTTAGTCTGGTTCAGTCTGCAGTACCGCGAGAATCCCCTGAGCACATGAGTTATTCAGCTACAAGCTAGTAATACCCTATCCAGTTATCATAATACACCTTTTCGCGTGACGTCAGCACATGACCTAGCAACGTGCGCCGCCATTTCAAGATGCTTTTGCTTGACAACCGCCAATACCGCCAATGACCGCTGACAACACGAAGGAGATCTTGCAGTCTGGCAGATTTTTATTATACAATGCCCAAATCCTGTGTAGTATCACAGGAAAGGACACACTTTAGATCTAGTGATCACCAAGGGTGTTAACATTCCAAATTTAAATGTTGTTGATGTTGCAATATCTGATCACTTCTGTGTCTTCTTCGACCTATCTGTTACGCCCAAGCCACTCAATGGGTCTGCAGTTATCCGTAGAAGACACATTAATGAAAAGACTAGTGCACTTTTTATTGATCATATTCAATTTGACCATGCCTCTTGTCTCACTGTTGATGACATTTTAGAGTCTGTCACTCATAATTCTGTGACTCTATTAGACACCATTGCCCCTCTTAAAGTTAAAATGGTTAGAAATAAGAAAAAAGCGCCATGGAGGAGTGAACCTGCTGTCAGGGCAAAGAAAATGGAATGCCGTAAAGCTGAACGCAAATGGCGCAAGTCAAGGGTTGAGGCACATCAGAAAATGTACAAAGTAAAATTACATGAGTACAATCAAACCTTACGCTTAACAAGAGAGAGTTTTTTCTCTCAGCTTATTGGGAAAGTCTGATAATAACTCCCGTGTCCTGTTTAAAACAGTGAACAATTTAGTCAATCCTCCAGCTCATTTGCCATTAGAATTAAACACAACACTGAAATGCAATGAGTTGGCAATATTTTTCAAAGAAAAGGTTCAAGGTATTAAAAACTCAATTCAGTTCACATCACATACAGTGAATCCACAGCCACCTAAGCATTTGGAGCTGTCCTGCTTTTCACCCGTTAATGAAAACATGATCCATGATATAATTTTTAAACTGAGTTCATCTACCTGCAGCGTTGACTTTTTACCCACAACATTTTTAAAATCTGTTGTAAGCAGCTTGTTACCATAAATCACCAGAATTGTAAATTCGTCACTAGAGTCCGGAACATTCCCGAAGAGCCTTAAAACTGCGGTCATCAAGCCCCTCCTTAAAAAAAGTAACCTTGATGCCGCAGTATTAAATAATTATCGGCCCATCTCAAATCTTCCTTTTGTGAGTAAGGTTCTGGAAAAAGTTGTCTATCAACAACTGATGAGATTTTTATTATCAAACAACTCATTTGATGTGTTCCAATCTGGTTTTAGACCAAACCATAGCACAGAGACTGCCCTAATTAAAGTGGTAAATGACATACGTTTGAACACGGACGCTGGCAAAGTCTCAGTGCTAGTTTTATTAGATTTAAGTGCAGCATTTGATACTGTGGATCATGAAATCCTTTTACAGAGACTGGAGAACTGGGTGGGGATCTCTGGCATGGCTCTAGAGTGGTGTAGGTCCTATCTAGAGGATAGAATGTACTATGTTGAGATTGGAAATTGTGTTTCAGACCACATTGCCTTGACTTGTGGAGTACCACAGGGGTCAATCCTAGGACCTCTGTTATTTAATCTTTACATGTTACCACTTGGCCAGTTAATTCACAATGAAAATGTTTCTTATCACAATTATGCTAATGATACTCAGCTCTACGTCTCACTAACTTCAGGAGAATATGGACCAGTGGACTCACTCTGCCATTGTATCCAGCAAATCGGTGTGTGGATGCAAAGCAATTTTCTGCAACTTAATTCGGATAAAACAGAAACAATTGTCTTTGGACCTCAGAAGCAAAGAGAAACTGTCACCAGTTACCTGCAGTCTCTCTCCCTGAAACCTGTAAATCAGGTTAGAAATCTTGGGGTAGTCCTGGACACAGAGCTGAAATTTCAGCGGCACATAAATTCAATAACATCAGTGGCTTTTTATCATTTAAAAAACATTTCCAGAATCAAAGGTATTGTGTCTAAACCTGACTTAGAAAGACTTATCCATGCTTTTGTCTCCAGTAGGTTAGACTACTGTAATGGCCTGCTCACAGGTCTGTCCAAACAGGCTGTAAAACAGCTGCAGTACATCCAAAATGCAGCGGCTCGAGTCCTGACTGGAACCAGGAAGTACGACCACATTAGTCCAGTTCTTAAGTCTCTGCACTGGCTTCCTGTGGCTCAGAGAGTTGATTTTAAAGCAGCTCTACTTGTGTATAAGTCTCTTCATGGCCTCGCACCACAGTATATTCGAGAAATGTTAGCGCCATATGAGCCGGCTAGGACACTGCGGAGCACAGGGACTGGCCTCCTGCTGGTGCCTAGGGTCAGGACTGGACATGGGGAGGCGGCATTTCAAATTTATGCAGCCAGAATTTGGAACAGTCTCCCTGAGCTTGTGAGACAGGCCTCGACCCTGGCAATGTTTAAGTCCAGGCTGAAAACTGTCTTATTCAGGTAAGCATATGACTAATCTGAAGTATTTATTTTTTAAATGTTCGTAACTTTTAACTTTTTATTACAATATTTTATATGCATATACACTGTTTTTTTGCTTGTGAAGCACTTTGGGTTACACTGTATGAATTGTGCTTTATAAATAAATTTGATTGATTGATTGATAGTATTTGGCTGTCATAAACACGCCTGGCAGAACGAAAAGATATCATTTTACAGAATACCTACAGAAAAAGGCCAGAAACGGAAATTGTGGATCCAAGCACTGAGGCGAACGAACGACGACGGAACTACATGGAGTGGTCGTATGTCTGCAGTAGACATTTCGTTAATGGTAAGTTGTGAATTTTAGGGATCTAATTTCTTCCTGACTGATTTTATGACATAGATTATGAAATCGTAATTCATTCAGTAATGACTGCAATTCCTATGGTTAGTTAGCTCGCTAGGGCTAGGCTAATTAGAGGGCTTTCATGACGGGTTTACGTACACAACTATCAATCAATCAAGTTTCATTTCTAAAGCGCCTTACAACAACCAAAGTTGACCAAAGCGCTGCACACAATAAACATAAAAATACAATATAAAAAGGAGTACAATTTCATTAAAAAACAGACCATTATCACATTCACAACAGTTGCCACAGAACTATGTGTCAAATGCCTCTTTAATCAGGTGAGTCTTTAGTTTCGCTTTGAACAGGGGCAGGTTTGAAACGGCACGTAACTCAAGCGGCAACGAGTTCCAGAGTTTTGGACCTGCCACAGCGAAAGCCCGATCACCCCACCCTTCGTGTTGTCCAATGTCCGTGGTAAATAGCGGTTGTCAAGTAAAAGCATACCCCTCTTAAAATGGCGGCGGGCGTTGCTAGGTCAAGTGGCCCGGATGCTGATGTCACCGCGAAAAGATGTATAGATCCATGAGGCTACGGCGAAGTGTGGATCAGGGGTGCAAAGGGGGCGTGGCCAAAGACTACGCACTCGCACCCTTCATCGGGAACGCGCAAATGAGGGGCGCAAGGGTGGCTTAAAGTTCAGCAGTGGTTTACATGAGTTTCCCAAATAATGCTCAAACGGGAATTAAACTGTGAGGATACTGGGCATTTTTGGGGACACAGCAGTGCTCCTTGATTGTGCTGTCATTGTGTTTTTATAAAGTTAACTAATCGCTCTGAGTGGCCACAGTCAAAGCTCTACCTCAGAGAGAAAGCACAGCGACACTTTTGGATCAGTCTCACAGCTGAATGTATCAGTCTAATTCCCAAAAAACGTCACTAAAACTCACCTAAAAGCCATAGGATAGCATAGGCAGGAAGTGAACGGGTTGTATTTTGTTAACAGGAAATGACGTCACGCCTCCCCGTGCATACAGCCCATGATGCCTTTATTCCCACCAGCCCTACTTGGTCCTACTCTGCTCTACTCAGCAATACTCTACCCGGCTCCTACTCTACTCTACTCTACTCTACTCTACTCTACTCTACTCTGCTCTGCTCTGCTCTGCTCTGCTCTGCTCTACAATTCTCAGGTCAGCTCAGCTCTACTCTACTCTACTCTACTCTACTCTACTCAGCTCTTCTCTACTCTACTCTAATTGGCTCTACTTTACTCTACTCTTCTCTACTCAGCTCTACTCCACTCTACTCTTCTCTACTCGACTCAGCTCTACTCTACTCCACTCACCACTACTCTTCTCTACTATAATTGACTCTACTCTACTCTACTCTACTCAGGTCTACTCTTCTCAGGGTGAGTAGACTCTACTTAGCTCTACTCTACTCTTCTCTACTCTACTTTACTCTACTCTGCTCGGCCTGAAGGGTGTGTGTTCAATCAGTTGTAGTCCGTCCATTTTTTACACCACAGTTGTTCCTGGCTAATTTTTCTGGATTTTTGTATTTTGTCGTTAACTTGGATTTATTTGATTAAACTACACTTTAATTTCAGTCCTGCACATTTTGGGCTTCTTTTTTAATTTTAGTTTCATGTGGATTGTGAATAAATTAGGTCTATGTAGTTACCATAGTTACCAGGAAGATTTTTTAAGCTGCCCTCCACCACTATTTTAAAGTATATATAGGCTCTTTGAAATGTTGTGATGTCACATGAGTGCAACCTGTTGAAGACACATTTTAATTTCATTCTTGTAAATTTCTGAATTTCGTATACAATTTGAAACTATAAGAAAAATCTGCAAGTTTTTATTTTCACATACAACTTTTGTCAACGATGCAATAACCCACTACATTTCAGCTACGGCAATACAGGAAAACAGAAGTTATACACGACGTTTTTGACAAAATCAAGTGCGACCTTTAAAAATACTTGTTTTCTTGCACCAGAAGTCACAATATAACAGAATACATTGGTCAAATAAATAGATTTGAAATAACAAAACAAAAAATATCAAACTTATATTCAAATTGCATGTTTTGATTGTTGTCCTCCCAAAAGTCACAACGTGTCTTTAGTATTGTTTAAATTGAAAACACAAATAACCCACAAAAGTCAGTAACAAAAATGAACAGAAACTACAAATTAACAATATGCGCTTATCAACACTACACATCTATCGCTACGGAAAAGTAAAGTCACCCCAACTATACAGACACCGCAAATATTTACAAGATGACTTCACAAATTGGCGTAAATTCTTCAAATGTTTTGCTCGTGTGAAAATATAGCAAGAGGTAACATGACACATTCCACATTCGTAATAATAAAATAGAAGTTAATTACTTCACAATCAATGTTAGTTTTAGGGTCAGTGCAGTTTGTCTAGAATAATTAATTATGTTTAAAAAAATAAAAGGGAAAAAGGGAAAAAAATGTAAAAGCCAATTATTCTTGTGTTAGAAACATTACAATGATTTAAAGAGCTTTATAAATGCAGAATTTTCGAATGTTGAAAGCATTTTGTTTTATTGTTAGTTGTTATGGCAACAGTGCTGACATGTCAGTGTGAAACCCTTGCATATGAATCTGAATGCATTTAGGTGCACAATTGAGAGAATTATGTATTAAATATTAACTCCCCTTTTGCAACGTATGCATTGAAAAAAAATGTAGTTTAATGATTAAAAAAAATATATTGGGAGCGGAGAGGGGTCGAAAATGAAAGAAAAAATGGTGAGGTTTAGTAGGAGTGTACACAGGATAATTATGGACTCATTTGAATATGAATAAGAACAACAATAAATGATAATATATTCCATTGTAATTTTAGTGTGGTCAATTACTCAAGTCAAATTTACCATATAAAATGCAATTCTAGACATTATTACTTGGTAGCATTTGTGACAAACTATAGCAGACAATTCATAAGAAAAACTTCATATCCTCATTTCCGTCATTCGAGGCCTTCTCCGACACAATCAGCGACAACAGCGCACCAGCGAATCTCCTGGCTGACGATTCAAAGCTCAAATTTCAAAGTATTCCTATGTGTCTTCCCCTATGTTCTATTTGCGCTTCCTCAGTACTAGATACACGAGGCCGCTGATGAAGGTCATGGGGAAGGCCACCCAGGCGAGGATGAAGGACGCGCCGTAGGAGCCGGTCCGGAGGCTGGGGATGTGGAAGCTCTCCTTCTCCGCCGTGTAGACCGCCGCGCCAATCATGACGCACAGGGCTGCAGGGGACGGGAGAAAAGACTGGCTTACAAACACGCTATTTGCAGTATATGAATGTTCCAGTGGCTTGCAAAATACTATTACAACCTTTGCACATTGTGTCATGTTTACAAAGATAAAGATTTTATTTTGGATTGAGAAAGTGACGTGACAGCCCTTGCTGGACTTGAAGCCGCTACTTTTATCAAGTGCTTTGAACCCTGCGGCCTAAAACATTGCGGCCAATGTAAGTATTCTTCTTAACTAGCTGTGAATGCCTCAAAAGAGCAGCAAGTAAATACTGATATATTTATCGACTCCCACTGTCTGCTGTTGTTGTGTCCTTGGCAAGACACTTAACCTCTGGGAACACCTGATGCCACAGTGGGGCGGCTGCGGCTGTAAAGTGCCAAACTGCTGTTGTGTCCTTAGGCAAGACACTTCACCCTCATTGTCTAGAATGAGTCTGGTGTGTGTGTGAATGGTTGGTGGTGGTCGGAGGGGCCGATGGCACATACTGGTTGCCCCGCTTCTGTCAGTGTGCCCCAGGGCAGCTGTGGCTACAGTAGTTTGTCACCACCGTGTATGGAGTGACAGAATAATGACATGTGAAGTGTCTTTGCGTGTCCAAAAAAGCGCTATATAAAACCGATGCAATATTATTATTATCATTATCTATATCTATATATCTACAGTATATATGACGAGATAACATTTGCAGGCTCTTTAAATACAAATAATGACTTTAGACTATTTATTGTTGTGTATATTTGTTATTGAGTAAATTGTATTGAATGGAATGTCTGTCCACTGCAAGACAAATCTACATGTACAAATTAAGCAAATCTGAACCTGGAATTCTCCTGAAGTATATTACCACCCTCCTTAGTTAAACACTGGTTATTCGCCCGTGTGTGTGTGAGTGCTTACAGCCCAGCAGCTGGATGATGGCGGTGAAGACAAACCGCTCTCCCTGTTTGAGGCGGAAAAGCTGCAGGATGAAGACGAAGAAGCTGACGCAGCACAGGATGGTGGCCAGGATCATGGTGGCCTGGACCGTCTGCAGGAAGGCTGGAGGGAGATGATTTATCAATTAAAGCATCACATTTACTGTACTTCCTGGGCAATTAAGTGCATCTGTAAACGAATTGCACAAGCTACATTTGAAAAGAACGTAATTTTTCCGCACATATAGGACGCTCTTGAATATAAGCCGCAGGTTTTTATGTTGGGATGTTAACACTTAACAAACATCTCAACACATGTGCCACATGATCTCGGAAAAGAGGAGAGGGCTGCGTCCCAAAATGTGGAACCTTTCTCAGTAGAACGGCTTTCTCCTTCACTGCAGCGAGTCCGTGGAACTCACTCCCAACTGAGATCTGGACTAAACAATGACAAAAATGGCTCTTGGAAAGATAAATCTGTACGGATGTGTGATAAGTGTGTGTGTGTGTGTGGAAAGAATGTGAAGAATTTTATGTTATGAAAACTTAAAAAAAAAAAACGGATGTTGATGTACATATATTAAATTGAAATTTCTGTCTGATAATGAATGTAATGTATGGTTTTGTATCCGTCGACTTTTGTTTTACTGTTTTACAACGACCTGCTCAAGGCGCTCCTGCTCTAACCTGGTACAAGGCATCTCTCACAAAATTATCAGATGATGGAGCAGAATACCTTGAAACACAGGATCCAATTTTTACTAGAGATTGAACAATATACAGGCTCGTTTGGAGTCACTACGGTAAAAGTCCATTATAACGTGGCTCTGTGAAGTATATGAAATTCCAAATGGATAATTATGGCTGTTGATCTATGTCGTAAGTCACATGTGCATGGGATATACAAGAATAAATGTCATGCTTGCAATTATCATTATAGTGAGACCACATTTTTTATCTTTATCATCATACTAATATACTGTAGTTTGTTATGGTCATGTGAACTCCCACCAGGAGGAGACCAGGGGAAAGAAGGGAGGACACGCTGGAGGGACTTTGTCTGAGGCCGAAGGCTACAGGAAGACAGGTAGTCTCCTGAACTGATCGCCGCGGTGCACACAAACCACAAACGTTTTCTACTGACTTAAAGTAAATGTCACTGTCATGTTATACTAGCGGTTATAGAATGTTGTATATGATGTTGATGCAGTCTGCACACGACGCATGAGCAGCCAGCTAAATGGTGAATGGTGTTATAGAGAGGGACTCGTTTTCGCCTGTCATTCCTCACCTGCACTGGTGGTGTGGCTGTTCTCCACTGGGATGCATGTGTTGTTGCAGGAATACCACAGGTCGGTGTAGATCACATCACGTCCCTCAGGGGTCACCACCCACCAGGCCTGCACCAGCACATCATAACTCACAACAGTGCCATGGTTTAAACAGTTCATATTCACATTACACTGTCACTCACATTATAGATGGTGGCCACAAAGAGCAGAGCGGCCGCACACACGTGGAACAGGATGATGAGGAATAGGACGATCAGCATGGTGGAGGCGGGTTGTCGTACACGTCACCAAATGTTTGGAGTCTGTGTGGTCTGACAGTGTCTGTAGATGCACAACATTTGTTTGTGAGGGTTAGTTCAACATTTTCATAATTATGTAGGAGCAGTATTTCCATCTAAAACAGCAGGTTATCAACTCCTACTTTATTCGGCCCTCAATGGGGAAATTTCAGTTTGATGCATACACATACAGGCACACAGCAAACTTCACTTCCACACTACTTATAGGCAAAGTGGGTTAAGTGTCTTGCCCAAGGACACAATGACAGCAGACATCAGTGGGAGTTGGTGGAGAAGGTCTCATGGTGGGCTCGAACCCACAACCTTCGGGCCCAAAGGCCAATGCTCAACCAACTGACTGAGCCACTCGGGATCCCCCTCCCCACCTCACAGCCTCTTCAGTCCTGAACTTATAGGCAGAGTCCTGAATCTACAGCCAGAGTCCTGAATATCTACAGCCTGAGTCCTGAACCTATAGGCAGAGTCTTGAATCTACAGCCAGAGTCCTGAATATCTACAGCCTGAGTCCTGAACCTATAGGCAGAGTCCTGAATCTACAGCCAGAGTCCTGAATATCTACAGCCTGAGTCCTGAACCTATAGGCAGAGTCCTGAACCTATAGGCAGAGTCCTGAACCTATAGGCAGAGTCCTGAATCTACAGCCAGAGTCCTGAATATCTACAGCCTGAGTCCTGAACCTATAGGCAGAGTCCTGAACCTATAGGCAGAGTCCTGAACCTATAGGCAGAGTCCTGAATCTACAGCCAGAGTCCTGAACCTATAGGCAGAGTCCTGAATCTACAGCCAGAGTCCTGAATATCTACAGCCTGAGTCCTGAACCTATAGGCAGAGTCTGAACCTATAGGCAGAGTCCTGAACCTATAGGCAGAGTCCTGAATCTACAGCCAGAGTCCTGAACCTATAGGCAGAGTCCTGAATCTACAGCCAGAGTCCTGAATATCTACAGCCTGAGTCCTGAACCTATAGGCAGAGTCCTGAATCTACAGCCAGAATCCTGGCACAAAGCGGCCACACCATCTCTGCTGCTGCATGTGACCTAAAGAGCTGTTGCATTTTCTCACTATTGTTACAGTGCCTTGCGAAAGTATTCGGCCCCTTGAACCTTTCAACATTTCGCCACATTTCAGGCTTCAAACATAAAGATATAAAATTTAATTTTTTTGTCATGAATCAACAACAAGTGGGACACAATCGTGAAGTGGAACAAAATGTATTGGATAATTAAAACTTTTTTAACAAATAAAAAACTGAAAAGTGGGGCGTGCAATATTATTCGGCCCCTTTACTTTCAGTGCAGCAAACTCACTCCAGAAGTTCAGTGAGGATCTTTGAATGATCCAATGTTGTCCTAAATGACTGATGATGATAAATAGAATGCACCCGTGTGTAATCAAGTCTCCGTATAAATGCACCTGCTCTTTGATAGTCTCAGGGTTCTGTTTAAAGTGCAGAGAGAACCATGAAGACAAAGGAACACACCAGGCAGGTCGGAGATACTGTTGTGGAGAAGTTTAAAGCCGGATTTGGATACAAAAAGATTTCCCAAGCTTTAAACATCTCAAGGAGCGTTGTGCAAGCAATTATATTGAAATGGAAGGAGTATCAGACCACTGCAAATCTACCAAGACCCGGCCGTCCCTCCAAACTTTCATCTCAAACAAGGAGAAGACTGATCAGAGATGCAGTCAAGAGGCCCATGATCACTCTGGATGAACTGCAGATAACTACAGCTGAGGTGGGAGAGTCTGTCCATAGGACAACAATCAGTCGTGCACTGCACAAATCTGGCCTTTATGGAAGAGTGGCAAGAAGAAAGCCATTTCTCAAAGATATCCATAAAAAGTCTTGTTTAAAGTTTGCCACAAGCCACCTGGGAGACACACCAAACATGTGGAAGAAGGTGCTCTGGTCAGATGATACCAAAATCAAACTTTTTGGCCACAATGCAAAACGATATGTTTGGCGTAAAAGCAACACAGCTCATCACCCTGAACACACCATCCCCACTGTCAAACATGGTGGTGGCAGCATCATGGTTTGGGCCTGCTTTTCTTCAGCAGGGACAGGGAAGATGGCTAAAATTGATGGGAAGATGGATGGAGCCAAATACAGGACCATTCTGGAAGAAAACCTGTTGGAGTCTGCAAAAGACCTGAGACTGGGACGGAGATTTATCTTCCAACAGGACAATGATCCAAAACATAAAGCCAAATCTACAATGGAATGGTTCACAAATAGACGTATCCAGGTGTTAGAATGGCCAAGTCAAAGTCCAGACCTGAATCCAATCGAGAATCTGTGGAAAGGGCGGAAGACTGCTGTTCACAAACGCTCTCCATCCAACCTCACTGAGCTCCAGCTGTTTTGCAAGGAAGAATGGGCAAGAATTCCAGTCTCTCGATGTGCAAAACTGATAGAGACATACCCCAAGCGACTTGCAGCTGTAATTGCAGCAAAAGGTGGCGCTACAAAGTATTAGCGCAAGGGGGCCGAATAATATTGCACGCCCCACTTTTCAGTTTTTTATTTGTTAAAAAAGTTTAAATTATCCAATACATATCATTCCACTTCACGATTGTGTCCCACTTGTTGTTGATTCTTGACAAAAAATTACATTTTTATATCTTTATGTTTGAAGCCTGAAATGTGGCGAAATGTTGAAAGGTTCAAGGGGGCCGAATACTTTCGCAAGGCACTGTAGCTACTTTTACAATGATGTATTTATTTGTTTTGTTTGTATGGATGGATGTGTTTCTGCTGTTACAGGAAACCTGATTTTCTCCTACGGGGGGGTCAATAAAGTATCTATCTATCTATTATTCATAAAGTGGGTGTTCGAGATCATACGTGTTATTTATAAATTCAAAGATTATGAAGTTTTATGATCTTATTGAGTTCCAGATTGTGCAGTTGATATATAAAGCAAGATATAAACATTTACCAAAACAAATACAGAAAAGGTTTCAAGAGCGAACTAGTTGTTACGAACTACGAGAAGAATTGAACTTGATGATACAGAAACACAGCTCAACACTGAAAAGTTTCAGCCCCACAGTTAATGGGGTTCAATTGTGGAATAATTTGGAGCGGGAGATGAAACATAGTCCAAACATTAATGTGTTCAAATTTAAATACAAACAAAAGACTTTCGATAAATTTAAAGAGGAGGAAATTATATGTCACTAGGGGGCGCAATCGGGCTAAAATAAATTGGTGTTTGGTTTTGTTTTGTTTTATTTTTTTATTTTCTATTTCATCAACTTTTTTTTGTTGCTTATTATATTCATTATGATCTTTATTGACCTTGAAGAGTGATGTTGCTTTAAACAGTTGCCATTATTTGTCGTTAATATTGCTGTTATCGTCTGTTCTTTCTTGTTTATTTTTTTACATTTGCATAGTTGCTGTTCTATGTAAAGTGTGTATATTTTCATGTAGTGTTTTGGGGGTAGGCACCAATTAGCTTTTGCTTCGGCCCACTCCTTTTGAGCAGTACTTGTCTGCTCAAATAAACAAATAAATAAATAAATAAATCTAACTGAGTTTCATAGATCAGCACTCTCCATAGATCAGCACGATACTGATTGGTCAGAACGCTGCTAGAGCCAGAGAACCCCGCTAAAGAGAGCCAAGTCTGTTTCACTAAAGTGTGGATTTATAGAAAACAAATGGACATAATTGTTTCAGGTTGACAAGGGGCACTAATATACACACAAAACCTGACTATGGGAAAATCTTACAGCCCATGTGGATTTAGGTTCCAGTGCTGGTGGCCCCTTATGATGGAGACCGGTTTAGCACCAACACTCGATCCACATAATACAATACATCCATGTTTTGACACAACAGACGGGTTTTACCTTAATGCAACAGAAATAAAATAAAAAAGTATGTCCTGATTTTGTTAAATATTTGAATGCATTAATAATATGGTTGCGTCAATACCTCTAAATGCGTCTAATTTGCGGGGACAATATTTCTGCCTGGTGCATAAACACAGCTCTCATAACTCACAATGGCAGAATCATTATAGACTTAGAATGTTTATCTAAACGGAGCTCAGAGGCAGCCACATCTGTCCTCAATCAGCAGAGCACACGTACAGAAATGTGTGTCTGCGAACGACAAGGAATGCACACAAATACTGTTGTGTTTACATTCACGACCATGTAGGAGGCTGTTTACCCAAAATATAGAGCAGCATGAGGACTTCTGCTGGAGGGAAGAAATATTCCAGCAAGTAATATATGTTCTCAATGGGGTAATTAGGTAAAAAGATCCTATTATTTAATCTTAATACTGAAGTTTCAACAACAGTGGAAGTAGTAGTAGTTGTGGGATATTATTGTAGAGGAAGTACTAGTAGCAGCAGCAGTGGTAGTAGTAGTAGTAGCAGCAGCAGTAGTATAGTAAAAATGTTCAGTCTTATCTCTAATGATATTAACTACATAATAACAATTGCTACAGTAATACACAGTAGTAGTAGCAGTATATAAAGATATACTGTATGAAGTATATAATTAGATCAAATAATAATGGCAATAGTCAAACAACATAATGACAGTTATTGGTGAAATGTTAAAGAATTGATGGAACCCAAAACCCCCTGACACAAGTCCAGACAGGGGTAACATCAGAGTAAACTTTAGAGTGGCTGCAAAACATAAACATGAGGAGAGAAGGGGCTTTAGGATCTCCCCCCCCTCCTACATGTGGCCCCTGTGAAAACATGTCTGCAGCCAGGAAGCAGGCGACAATTAGGGCTGGCGGAAAGGCACAGATAATTTAGGATGTAAATGATTTAAAAAGATTGTGTATAATACTCCCCCCTTGGACTGCCACCTTAACGTGGTGGGGGAGTTTGAGCACTCGGATGATCCTGGGAGCTATGCTGTCTGGGGCTTCATGCCCCTGGTAGGGTCTCCCATGGCAGACAGGTCTCAGGTGACGAGTCAGACAAA